GGGGGGAAAGAGAGAAAGAGGCGGGGGGGGAGGGGGAGGAGGAAGAGGAGGAAGAAGAAGAAGAGGAGGAGGAGGTGGTGGTGGTCAACTATTTCCCCATCCTATGAGAGTAAATGATCTGTTGTCGTTGGACAATTATAAGATTAATACATTTGTTTCAAAGGATTCTTCCAAAAAGAGTCAGGTTAATACTTCAGGTTTAACCTCCCTTTCCCCCGGGGGGGATGGGGAGGAGGAAGAGGAGGAAGAAGAAGAAGAGGAGGAGGAGGTGGTGGTGGTCAACTATTTCCCCATCCTATGAGAGTAAATGATCTGTTGTCCTTGGACAATTATAAGATTAATACATTTGTTTCAAAGGATTCTTCCAAAAAGAGTCAGGTTAATACTTCAGGTTTACCCTCCCTTTCCCCCTTCCTTCTGCCAACATTTCTCACGTGCCTACAGCAAGTCAGTGAGTATCTCCAAAGCTTTGTGGGAAAGAAAAACTAGACCCATGAAGCAGATGGCAGTACATGAACACTAGGGCACATAGAACATGAAATAAAGTCCCAACTCTCCCATGCAGCCTCAAACTCACTAGTGATCACTGATCAGTGTGAAATGCCAATCTCCTGCATCTTTGGGTACACACCTCACAGCAGGTCTAACACCTTTTCTGTACAGAAGTCATCTGCAAAGGAACCCCTTTCCTGGAATTCAGGGCTTTTTTTTGTTTGTTTGTTTTTTGGTCTCCCTGTAGCTCCAGCTGGCCTGGAACTTGCTATTGAGACCAGGCTGGCCTCAAACTCACAGAGATCCACCTGCCTCTACCTCCCTACTGCTGGGATTAAAGGCATGCACCACCACGCCTGGCTTGAGAGCATATTTTAAAGACCTATTATAACATATCTTCATCTATATATGAAGAGCCAAAGGGCATTAGAAGGAACTCAGTAGGGACAGGAGAGAATTCCTTCAGGCTAAAACTCTTTTATTGCAAAAGGCTTACTTATTTGGAGATGGGGGTGGGACAAGATGTCAGTCCATGAGAAAATGGAAACAATTTAAAAGCAACTGAGAGAAAGAATTTGTTAAAGCATTTCTTCAGCTAATCTGCAATTGCTTCTGAAACGTTTAATTGCACTCAATTTCCAAGTGGGTAAGTTTTGAAATAGTGACAAATTGAATTATGCTTCCTACACTGAAGATGACACAGTGGCTATGATGTCTTCAAGGAACACCCCACACTACCCATCAAAACCCACTTATACCAGAGCAGTGTGAAATGTACAGACTGGGGCTCCCCATCCCAAGCTCTCATATACCATTCCACCTCTATCAGTGACAGCATCCTAATGTGTGCACACATATGTGCATGCACATGCATGCAGGTATGCAGTCACAAACGGATACACACAGGCACTGACCTTTCTTCACCATCCTGCCTGCCACGGTGAACTGGGTGGAATCGTTGGCCGCACCTCTGCCCTTGGTCTTCCACGCTTCCTCCCGCACAGTGATGAGATGCTTCCTCTCCTCAATCGTCATCTGGCTCTCTCGACTTTCTGTGACCCGCTGTTTACAAAATGTATAGAAGGGAAAATAAGAGAAAGAAATGACGGAGGTGTGAACTGTAGCCTTGTAGCATTTCCAGGGTGAGAAAACAGGTAAACAAAGTTGCCCTGGTTTTACCTATCTACTTAAGTTTGAGAAAATTACTGACGAGATTTACTCATACGCACCCACAAGGAACATAATTAGTCTAGAACATTTCGTCCATGTCAGCTCCCCAGGAGTATGTGTGATGATGAAAGTAGTCAGGCTGGTTAGGAAGAAGGTGAACCATGAGGTTCTCCAGGACTGGGTGGGCCCTCCAGTCCAGCAGTGATGCCTCCTGGGCAGTTGGGTAGCTAAGGGACCCAAGAAGCAGCTTTAGGACCTAATAGACCTGATGCCAGGGATGTATTACATGGCAGGCATAACCTACATAGAGAACAATGGTTCTTTAGTATTTAAATTTGTAACTGGGGTTCTACAGAAGCCTGTCTCTTCAGTCTCTAGGTCAATGGTGATGATCATTAAGTCTGTGGCACAGTAGAGTCAAGTGGAGGAGCTGGCAGCAGGGTCAGGGTGGCATTCAGAACTGGAATGGAATAGGGCCTAGGGCTTGGGAGAAGCAGCAGGCCAGGCTCAAGGAAATCAGGGTGAACCTGGGGTGGAGCCAGTCGTGTGGACGAACAGTACAGATGATGCCTGTGGGTGATAAAGAGGACTCAGGGCCCCAGATGTTACCTTGCCTCTTTTATGCCATTCCTGCTTGCAGTATACAACCATAACAGAGGGCACAGGAAACAGCAAGAAGCAGGGGCTGGGGGAGCGCTGTGAGTAAAGACTGAGCAAGGATGTGTTCTCCAAAGGGCAGGAACAGCAGCCTCTGCTGTCCACTTGGAAATCACTCAAAGGAGAGGGGCTCTGGGAGGGGTGATGGCCTGGGCTTCCCTTTTGCTTTCTGGGATTTGAAGGGTGCCTTCTACCAGGGCATTGGCCCCCAAGCTGCAACTGAGAAGGCCCTCCTTAACTCCAGTCAGTTTTCCCTCCTTCTTTCGTGAGTAGTTTTTCTTGGATAGGAAGTTAGCATGGATGAAAGTGATCCTTGAAGTCTCTCCCTAACAGCCTGAGGAGACCTCAGGAAAAGTACCCCAGGGCACTGATTCCCCCCCACGCCCATGCATGGCAGATGAGCATCCCTAAATAGTCAACAGGAATTGACTTGCAGATTCACAAATGCAGGGGGACAGCAGAGACTGGCACAGTTCATTTCAACATGCTGGGGATGATGGCGGGCATGGGGCAGGAGCCTGTGCTTTCTTCTCTGAAGTGCTGAATGAGGTCAGCACTGGGAAAACAGGGTTTCAGTGGTGAACATGAGCTAGTGATGAATCTTCCTCACACACAATTCTTCACAATATCATCATAACCAAAAGTGATTCTGAGATCGCTGGTCATTTCAGTTAGGCTACAGACCTTGTCCTGAAAAATGACAATTAAATGCAATGCATGACACTGGTTTGGGGCAGGGGTGTCCCTAGAAAGGATGTTGTTTGGGGAAACTGACACAATCAAAAACAGACGTGGAGAGATAAATGATACCGACGCTGAATCCCTATGTAAAGGTATCACTGTCTTATGTTTAGGGGACCCTCAGACTTAGAAATGTACACTGAAGAGCTGAGGGGAGCAGGTCTCCACACCGCCCAGGCTACTTGTGCATGGTTTAGAAGGGAAGAGAAAACTGTATATACACTTACACATACATGCATATTCACATACACAGTCACACATACATGTGCATTCACATACATAGTCATACACACTCACAAACACATTATGTATTCACATTTACATACATAATCATACACGCATACACACCAAGTATATACAAGTCATATACACATGTGCATTCACATGCATAGTCATACACACTCACACACAGACATACAGGTGCACACTCATAGACAGTTACACATGCATTCACATACATAGTCACACACATTCATACAACCACACACACATACACACACATTCACACAACCACACACACATACACACACATACATTCACATACACAGTCACATACTGATATAGTCACACAGTGACACACACAGACACACACACACACACTCAGATACACATTCACATATATACACATACATACACACTCATATGCACACATTCTTATATACCTACACAGTCACATTCTCACATGTACATACACACTGGCATACACAGTCACATACACACATGCACATTCACATACATAGTCACACTCAGTCACACACAGACACCCATATACATACTCATACACAGTCATATAACAGAGACACAATCACATGTACACAGTCACAGAGCTATACATACACACTCATATACAGAGTCACACATATAGACACTGGTGGTTTGAATGAGAATGTCCCCCATAGGCTCCAAGTATTTGAATATTTTGTCTACAGTTGGTGGTGCTGTTTTTGGAGGCTTTAGGAGGTGTGGCCTTGCTGGAGAAAGCTCATTACTGGGGGCAGGTTTTGAGAGCTCTTCACTTTTGCTAGATTTCCAGTCTCTGCTTCCTGGGCCTGCTTAAAGATGTGATCCCTTGTTTTTCTGCTCTGGCCACCGCCTGCTGCCATGCCTCCCCCGCCATTACAGATTCTTAGGCCTCTGGAACCATAAGCCAAATCCCTCCTTCTATAAATTGTCTTGGTCATGGTGTCTTATCACAGCAACAGAAAAGTAACTAATGTACAGACACAGTCACACACATAGTCACAGTGGCACACATAGACACAGTCACACAGATACAGTCACATATAGACACAGTCACGCAGACACAGCCACAGTCACATAGACACAGTCACACATATATACAGTCACATACACACAGTCACAAAGATACACTGAAAGATACCAGACACAGTCACAAAAATGTATAGCCACACACATACACAATGACACAGATACACAGTCACACATATACACAGACACAGCCACACAGTCACTCACAGACATAGTCACACATACACACAATCACAAAGAGACACAGTCACACACATATACGCAGACACAGTTTCATACAGACACACACACACAGTCATACAGTCACACAGACATAGTCACACATACACATAGACACAGTCATACAGACACAGTCTCACACACAGACACAAGCACACACAGTCACACATATATATAGGCACACACATAGACACACATATTCACTCCCACATACATGAAATGCAGGAGGGACCAGGAGGGAAGTAGATGTCAGAGGCAGAAGGAATGGACATCAGAAATTGGTGGATCAAGTAAAGAGTAGGGGAGGGTACCCTCCCTGTTATGGAAACTTATTCAGAAGTTTTTAACTATTGCCAATATAGAAATTACCCCAAATTAAAAACTTTCTTTTACTTTTCCAGCCAGGACTGACAAGATGACCCTAATTCCAGAAATGCTTGAATATATAATTTTATTAAATAAACTATAAACTGACTTGCCAGGAATACCTAATAAAGTTCAGAACAGTTAAGTTTCTAGAATAAAGTTTAATTAAACCAATATAGCAGTTGGCTTAGAATACTTCCAAACAACATGCAGAATGCCAAGAAAGTTGGCTCTTTCAAAAGCCCAGACATCACTGGCTCCACAGTGAGCTCATGAATATCCCCAAAGTGCATAGCACATGAGAGGGGTGCAATTAATGACTCAGAAAAATGCTACCTGAACCCACTGCTCAACTTCCCAAGCACTTGGATTCCCTGGACTATCTTCAGGGAGGTGAAGGTTCTGAACACTGGGATCAAGCAACCACTGCCTAATTTAAAGCCTGCAGAGGAATACTTTCTACTTCCCTCTAAATGCTAGTAATAAACAAAAAAGTTTTTCATTCTCTACAAATTCCTACATAACTTGGTTACTCAGTGTGCTTGGTTTGGGGACCCCCTAGTTCTTGATGCCTGACTTAACATGACTCTACAAGGGAGCAAGGGCTATGCAGTTGCACATTCCCTGAACACTTAAATAAAATTCATCTCAGTATGCTATTAAATTTCATATAAAATAGGAACAAAAATATTATTAGGTGGGTGTCTTTGTTCTGTTCTTTTTAGTTTGAAATTTCATCACTGTCTTGTTTTTCTGTATTAAGTTTTTCTTGCCTTGTTTAGAAAAGGACTCAACAGTCATGGTGGTGGGTACTGTACCAAGTCCCAAAGTTTAGCAGATGGATGCTTAGGACAGCCTGAACTACAAGACAGAGGCAGAATACGGACAGAAGTCCTACCCCATCTATAAACCATTTGTTCAAACACAGATACCATCAATATGGTGGAAAGAAACAGTGTACAGGAATAGCCAATGAGGATGCCTTCAGGTTACCAGGTTGCTGTGGATGGGCTTGTTTCTCTCCTAATCAACTAAGACTATTGAATGAGCAAATCTCACTCAACATTTCACACACAGAGAATACAATTTGTGTGTATCATTAGGATTAGTGGCAGAGTAAAGAGTAACATTCTTCCATGACTAGCAAGATTCACGGAAAGAAAATATCATGATCTGGCTTTTAAGTTATTTTACATCTAGTTAAAGTCAATAGTAGAAAGAAATGGTAAAAGCATGTGTTAAGAAATAAAAACAAAGTCAAACAGCAAAATTCTATGCAATAGTAAAGAATTTAGCTTTGCTTTCCCCTGAACAAAGATTTCTGTCCCTTATCACAGCAAATGACCTGACAAAAGAGTCAAAAGATAAAGAGGTCCTATGCTCAGACTTTGAAGTCTGTGGAGTTAAGGATAGTTGTTAGCTGCTATGTGGATGCTGGGAATTGAAATCAGGTCCTCTTTAAGAGCAGCCAGTGCTCTTGACCACTGAGCCATGTCTCCAGCCTCAAGAAGTAAACTATTAAATAACATAGCAAACTGGATTGGTTTTGACTATATGAACCTCAATCTCACATTTGCTCTTCACTGGTTTTGTGATTTTAAGAGTAACCACTGACCTACCTGTACCTCAATTTCCTCATTTGCAAGTTAGTATAATAAAGTTTATTTAAAGCTAAAAAGTAAAAATAAAAACAAAAATAAAGTAACCCCAGTCTGGTCATGTTGTCATCTGACAACTCTTAGAGAGAGGAAGGGGAGAGAGCAACATCTTATACTTGTACAGGCAGGCGAGGAAGAGGAGTGAACACTGATGCCTGGCACGGAGCTCCTGGATTGCTCAAACACTCTGTTTTCTTCTCTGTACCTTTGTATTATGAAACAGTAAGATGCCAACACTTCTGGAGAAAATACAAGGATTTACCTGACTACTGAGGACATTGATGAACTAATACTACAAACCAATATTTACATTTACCTGGATGAACTGTTAGGGAGTAAAAGTATATTGCTTAAAATATCTTATTTAAAAAAATTTGGGGGGGTCTTTTGAGTCAGGGTCTCCCTGTAGCCCCAGCTGATCTGGAATTCCCTAGGTAGACCAGGCTGGCCTCGAACTCACAGAGATCCACTGCCTCTGCCTCCCAAGTGCTGGGATTAAAGGCATGTGCCACCACACCCAGCCTGCTTAAAATATTTTAAAGTTTGAAGTATGAGACATAAAGAGCCTTTAGTAAATGTTATTTTTCTTTAAACTTAAAAAAAAAATCATGGAGAAGATATCCCATGTTCATGGATAGGACAATTCCATTTTGTCAAGATACTGGTTTTCTCCAAGTTGATCTATAAATCCAGTGATCTATAAATCAAAATTTTCAGGGAATGTGCAACTGTATATTCCTTATTCCTTTGTAGAGTCATGTTAAGTTAGGCATCAGGAACTAGGAGGGGTCCCCAAACCAAGCACAACGAGTAGTCCCAATAAAAATCCCAGCAGGGTATTTTATAGATATAGATAAATTTATTCTAAACTTGAATGTTTATGGTGAGGCAAAAGACAGGAGAGTCAATAAAAAATGTAGAACAAAGGTGGAGACCAACTTTTAAAAGTAGTTAAAACTCATTAGAAAGCTACAGGAATCAGGACAGTGTGCTAGCAAACCACATCAGTGGAGAAGGATAGAAAGCCTAGAATCAGAGCCAACAATTCCTACAATTGATTGAAATTTGAGGAGTAAAGGCAATATAATGGAGAAAATGTTGTCTTCTAAAGAAATTATGTGCTGAAATATTTGGATACTTGCATGTAGTCCAAAAATACCCAGACTAGCATATACCAGTCACAAAAACTAACTCCCAACAGCTCACAGACATGTGTGAAATGCAGCAATATAAAACTCCTAGAACATATTAGGAGGCAATCTGGACAAGCATGAGTTTACTTTTTTTGGGGTACTGGAATGGTACCTCGCTCATGCTTGGCGAGTGCTCTATCACTGAACATATTATATTCCCAGTGTGGGTACAACTACTTTTTAGGTAGACTACCAAAGACATGATCCTTGAAAGAGCTAGTTCACAAGCTGGACTTGACTGAGGTTAGAAAACTGCCCTGTGAAAGACCATCAAAGGAATGAGAAAAGAAAACTATAGGAAGGAAAAATATTTGCAAAACATATCTGGCAAAAGACAATTAATACAAAATACACAAAAGTCTCTTAAAATGCAGCAATTAGAAAACAACCAGATTAACCAATGGGCAATTGCACTCCTGGGAGAGGATAGCGTCTATGGCGTGGGACATGCCCTTGAAAGGAATCCTGGGACCTTGGCCCCTTCTCTCTGCTTCTTGGCCGTCTTGAGGTGAGCAGTTTTGCTCTGCCATGAGCTCTCTGCTATCACATTTTCCTCACCACAGGCCCATAAACAATGCAGCCAGCTGACAGTGATCTGAAAGTTCTAAAACTGTAAGCTCAAACAGGCCATTGCTCCCAGATGTTGATTTTCTTAGATGTTTTTCACAGCAATGGAAGGCTAACCACTAAGGCAGACAACAGTAAAGAACTGTGGGTAAGTGCCTGAAGCCACAGTTCACAGCATCTGGGACACCAGGGACACTCCAAGAAACAAACCCAACTAACTGCCTCTAAAATTGATCATGCACCAAGCAGGTTTTACCTCTCAAGTGGGTATCAGGTGAGGTACAGTGTGAGGGAAAGGGACAGGGGTCTGTGGGTTCTCATTAAACCAGCTCATGCAAACGACCTCCACCTGTGTCTTCTCCCGTCTCTCCCCCTACTTCATATCCATGTACTCTACCATGTGAGCTGGTTGAGACATCAGATTGAGTTAGCGTAACTGTTACTCTGGTATGTCTCCTGGCTTCCTTGAGAGCATAGAGACTGAAAGAACAAACCAGTTTCAAGACTGTGAGGTGGGTTCATACCACTGAATCTACCTAAATATCAGAGTGAAAGATTGAAGTATGTGTTGACTGACCCTTGAAACATGAAATAATTAAACACACACACATACATACACCGCCCCCCCTCCAAAGTGAAATGCAGCAAGAGTTGCTTATTCCCTGAATGAAACTAAAATCCTTCTGCTAAAATCCTACTGCTCAGAAACTGCAATGAGGCTTAACATGTCTAGGCTTTTCCTCACCTGATTAACAGATACAAAAGACAGGTATTTATGGGCAGCAGGTATAGCAGGACAATAAGTAGAAGCATACACAGGTTCCTATAGAGCAAAGCAAGAGGATTAGAGGTGAAAGGAAAGACTCCCCAGAGTTGGGGGTGGGTTGGGGGAGGTGGGGGGAAGAGACAAAAACAACAGAATTTCTAACAAAGTTAATTTTCTCATTGCAATTTCATTTCTCCCGCTAAGAGCATCCTTCCTTTGGGTGGCAAAACTGAATTAAATCCACGCAGCACAGTGCATGTATCTGAGCTAGTGTGGGGACTGTAACTGAATGAGTGAGTAGCAGATTCCTCCAATTCACAGGAAAGTATATATGTATATTTAGTTACAGAGATAAGACCCAGGACTTTCGCCAACAGTTCAAATATGGATCACTGCTTTCTTTATGGCATTTTCATTATATGACGAAAGAGTAGTTTAAGAACATAACATAGGCTTTCCATAGTGGACAAAGGGTGTGTATTGCCTTGGGAAACAAATGGAAGGAAATGAGGGGCACCATCCGTGTTCTGAATTTGGAGGAAGTGTCTGTCACCAGCCATGCAAGTACTTCTAAGAACAATCACTTATGCTTACCAGAAGAGGGAGATGCTGCCCCTTTAAGTGACTGCTGATCCTCTGCTCAAAGCTGTTTTGACTGATCTGGTTTAGAGAAGGCTCCCAGAGACCCTTATTAGGAGCCAGCCAAAATCACACAGTCACTCTTCTGCAGCCTTGCAGATCACCTGCAGTCTCCTTTTATAAACATGTGATATATGACCAAGAACTGAGCATGCGTGGGAATGTGCCAGCCTCCTTGTATATATGATGACCAATTTTTCCTGTGTGAATGTAAGTTTTCCCAGTCAAAGCCCCTGGCTTTCAGAGGTATGGCTCTGAGGAGTCTCTCTAACATTCTCAGGGTAGAACCTGTGCTTTGCTCTTTCCTGTCTCCTGGTTGTGCTTCTGGGCTTTGGAGCCACCACGGGCACTGTATTCGGTTATAGAAGGATACCTGAAGCGTTAGAGTCAGGCTTACCCAAAGCAGATTAGAAATGGCATTATCATCTGTAAATCCTCCTTCTTCCTACAGGTTAAAACAAACAGGAGACATTGCAGAGGATTGGAAGAGAAGAGTGTTAGGTGTCACCATCATTCTGTGCCTGGGTTCAGTCAGAAGCATGCATGTGCTCACATCCCAGTGTCATGCTCAGCAAGCAAACTCATTCCCCAAGGAGGACAATGACTGTGAGTCACACACACATCATCCAGCAGTTTGCCCTCCTTCTTAACCTCCCTCATCCAGCTGACTTCTTTATCTTCAGTTATGACTTGGAATTTCAATGACAACAGGTAGTTCTAACAGGACTATAGCAGACATTCCTTCCTTGAATTTTTAGGAGACTTTTCTGGTGATACCAGAAATATTAGCTCTAAGTGACCTCATTGGGGTGAAAGCACAGAGGGTCAGCCTATTCCCACCTGGGTCTCACAAGCAAATGCGAAGCTTGAAAACAGTCAATTCGACAATGGGCTTTTACTTCTTGGGAGAAGTTGTAGACTGGACGACCATCTTAGAAAAGGACTCACCATACATGCTGCAATGTTGAATAGGTCCGAGAATGGTTGGAATTTAGTTATTTGGTGAAAATAAAGACACCTGCCATGTCAGTTTAGATCTCATGTTTTGTTTTCCTCTCCCTGGTGGAAGGAACTACTTTGGAGGGCACAGAGACAAATCGCACTCAGGGGCCCTGTTCTACGAAGTGTGGACCTGGCCTGTGCCACCGCCAAGTGGCTTTTGGGTCCTTAGCTCTAGCTGCATGTGCGGTAGGAAGCGCTACTGTTTAAGCCAGGATATCATGACCTGCACTAACTCAGGAGCAAGAGAAAAGCAAGAGGGAGAGAGGAGGAGAAAAGATCAGAATGATTTCCATGGGAAGTGTGGCTGGCTGGGTGAATAATTACTGCTGATTTGGGCGAGTAAAACTAAAAAGCAAACAACCATTCCCAGGGACTGAATTTGGGAACGCAAAGATGTTAGCTATCCCCAAACTATTCATGGGCCAAAATAGGACCACATTATGATATAGGACCTCAAATGGGGATGCAATGGGAACACCCCAATTTCTCTTTTGGGGGGCGGAAGGGGCAACGCCTTTGACAGACAAAACTGTTACAGAGTTTCAAGGCATTTATTTACTTATCTTTGGTTTTTTTTTTTTTGAGACAGGGCTTGTTCTGTAGCCCAGGTTGGCCTGGAACTCATTATGTAGCCTAGTCTGTACTTGAACACACAGGAATTCCTCTGCCTCAGCCTCTTGGGTGTTCAGATTATAGGTGTGTGCCACTGTACCCAGCTCATCCCCTGGTGTCTTTCCTAGGGTCTGGCAATGAGTCAATCCTTAAACTTTAATTATCAATACAGTACTAACAGAAATGTTTTTACTTTAATTAGTTAATTTAGTGTAGTACATGAATGTGCATGTGTGTGTACACATGTGGAGACCAGACATTAATGTTGGGTGTCTTTCTCTGCTTTTTATTGTGAGTTGGGGGTCTCTCACTGAACCTGGAATTCACTGATTGGTTAGACTAGCTATACCCAGTGAATATGCTGGGATTACAGGAATGTGCCACCACATTTGATGGATCCAAACTCAGGTCCTCATGCTTGTGTGGAAAGTACTTTACCAACTGAGACACCTCCTCAGTCTCCCACCCCTCTTTATTGGAGATGATGTCTCACTCTGTAGCCAAGGCTGGCCTAGAATTCATTATGCAGCTTAGGCTGGACCCAAAGTAATCCTTCTGCTCCAGCCTCCCATGTGCCAGGATTCCAGGTGAGTGTCACATTCCTTTTAAATGTGGCCAATGGAGCATTTAAATTTCACATGTGGCTCCTACAATGTGTTTCTGAGGCAGGGCTGACCTCTATGTTGCATGGGTTTTCCATGGAGGGGTGGCTGTGATGTGAGCCCTCCCTCTAAAATCCTGTCTCTTTTCTGTTCCCATAGCTGCAACTAACAGTCTACGTTCACCATGCAACAGGAGCTAGAAAATGTTCACTAACCCCCAGCATGAGGTACCTGAAACTGGAAACTGGGAAGTGAGTGATCATAAAATTGGCTTCTTTCTACGTAGAGTGTAAAGCTGGAAGCCGTGGTAACTGCCCTCCTGACAGCTACCCATGGTAAGTCCATATCTAGCCAAGGCTGCAAGCTCTTGTCTGCATGCACATTACCAATGTCTTCCCCTCTCCAGGGCACTGTTGGGACAGGCCCAAGTCGGTCACTTCTAAAGCACACCTCACTTGAGAAAGTGAGTCTCAAGAAAGACCAGATTTAAGGCCCTCTGCTTGCTTCCTCTGAACACGGTGAAGAAGTGTGCTGAAATACCACTTGACCTTAACAGAACTTGAGATTTCCCCATGTGAGGACAAGAGTCTAAAATAGATTGGTTTATTTTAACTTCAAAGAGCTTATTGTCTAGGCCAAAGTGAACTAGGTCATTGACGAGCAGAGAACAGTCAGTTCACCGTGGCTGCAGGATCAGTGGCCAAGTGAGCCCTGAGTTGGCCCTCCACGCATGCGCAGGCCATACTTAGGGTCCTGGCATTTCTAGCTCTGGGTTTTCTATCCCAAGGGGCAAAATACAGGGTAGCCTGTGTCTCTTGCCTTCTAAAAAGCTTAGTGATATGTCTGGGCAGTTCAGACCTATCCTCTGCACAGCCTTCCAGGACTAAGCTGTGCCCTCAGTCTTCTAAGCAGGTGGTTCACTTACTGTGCTGTCTATGGGGACTTTGTCTCATGTTTAGTCTTTGAGTCTCATTTTTCTTTTGGCTTGGCTGTTTGGCTCTATGTCTTTCAAAATAACCAGGAAGATGCCAGGCCCTGTGCAGTGACGTCACGTATCAGTGGACAGCTTCGCTACTCAGTTATTTTGGGACTAATGATTTCAAGATTGTCTTTCTGTGGTCCTTGGGATGGAACCCAGGGCTTCTTCCATGCTAGGCAAACATTTGACTACTGAACTGTACCCTGAGCCCCAAGATTCATTTAGACAAAGTTTGTGGGCCAGGGAGATAAATCATCTGAGGGACTTGAGTTTCTTTTACCTTGCAATGTCAACAACTTTTTACTTTTAAATTTCTTTTTGTTTTTTTTGTTTGTTTGTTTGTTTGTTTTTTTGAGACAGGGTCTCCCTATAGCCCCAACTGACCTGGAGGTTGATATGTAGATCAGGCTGGCCTCAATCTCAGAGATTCACCTGCCTCAGCCTCCCTGGAGCTGGGATTAAAGGCACGTGCCACCACACCCAGCTATGAAGCCCCAATTTTACCTCTAGATTTAATATCTAGTTATAGTTGACAACATTATAAATGGCTGAGAATGAAGTGTCTTTAGGTATCATCTTCAACACCATGCACATCTCAAACTAGACAATTCAGATAGTTTTAAGCATCTGAGCACTTTATACATGGCTGGGAACTAAATGTTCTTAGTCATTATCTTTAACATCATGTACATCTCAAAAAAGAGAACTCCACTGACACTCCAGGGTCACCTGCACTGACATGGAAGTACCATATGACATAGTGCTGGGCTCACCTCCTGACTCACTGTCCTGTGGGCATGCTCGTTTTCATGTAAGTTTTAAATACATAAAGGTCACATTGAGATACTATTTTACTGCACTTTAAACATGGACCCTTGCTATGCTGCCTTGGCTAGTAAATCAGTGAGTCCCCCAACTCAGCCTCCCAGGTAGCTGGAATCACAGCCTGAGTTACCACACCCAGCTTCAGATGGTGATTTTAGAACTGGGAACAATCGCAGTGTCCACTAGTGAGAACTCTTTTCGGTCTCCTTTCTGTCAGTTGGATGTGGCTCAGATGTGTCATACTGCCTCGCCCAGCAAGCACATTTGCAGAGCCAGCCAGCAGGGACCATCATGGTTGAGTATGGTGTGCCAGGCCAAAGCTGGTGAGCACTGTATTGGAGATTCAACAACTTGTGTTTATGCTGGCATATAAAATGCACACGTGTGACTTAATTTGTTGCTGCACATTTTCATCATGACAGTCTCAGGATTACACAGAAAGTCCTTATCAACCCCAACTTTGTCCTTAGTTTTTGTACTTTGGACTTAAATCTCTGCATAAAAAAATCTAAGTCCATGCTTGGTATGCAACTTATAAACTATTTGCCGTGAGTTATTTTCTCATTTGAAAGACTTTAACCACATTCTAAAGCCAGGCTCCATTTAAGTTCTCAACTGTGAGCATATTTGAAACCTGGGCACTTGCTGGCTGAGGCAGCTGAGGATGGTGCTGCTTCCACAAGACTTGACCTTGTGATCAACTCTAGCAGTTTGTGACAAATCGTGTGTCCTGAGTACAAGGAGCACCAGTGCTATACTGAGCAGGAGTTAGTGAAGCAACACACAGTGGCTCTAGGATACACGCGTGATTGTGGACGTTAGTTAGGGAGCCCTTTCCTGAGGGACACGGTACCTTCTTCTTCAGGGACTGCTCCACCTCTTGGATGTGCAGGCTGGTGGTGGCAGGTGCTTTGCTGTACTCCTGCTTCCGGTTCAGTCTGTTCTTCCAGTCCTCCTCACCACTCTTCTTCAACAGTGCCAGCCTAGAAGGAAGACATGCCAAGCCAGAAGCATTTAGCACCGAACTCTCAGAACGTAGAACAACCTGCTTTCTAAGGTGGTCCTAAGATTTTAGAGTTGATTGGAAAAGTTGAAAGTGGACTTGTCAGATAAAAGACGCACCATCATTCCAAGAATGGACTAGACATCTCTGCTTCTGCCTTGCCCTAGAGTTGTGCATAAGAGACAAAAATAACTCCCCAGAGAAATACACTTTCCACTGACCCCTTCTGGCCCCCTGATGAAACAAAACATTAAAAGGATGAAATAACAAAAATGATCACTTCAGCTTTCCCCAAGGAAAGTCAAATATATAAAAAAAGAATCTCATTAACAGAGACTGTTATCTAACCTACTTAGTCTGACTTGATCTAAAGCTATTTTAGCCAGCTGCGTTATTATGAAGGAAAACACCTGAGCCATTTAAATTCAATAAGAGTGGGAAAGAGAAAAAGCAAAAAGGGGCCCACCATTAAACTCACTTAAACTGGTGTTCAGGCAACTTAAAGGCTGGGGGAGGGGGAGGGGAGACACTTTCTTCTATGCCTCCCAATGAGCCATGTCTTTGACCACAGGGCATGATCCACACACAGTGACTGCCAGGCAAGTTTGAGCACTGTTAGGGCTTGAAACTGTTAGTCTCATGTGCTTGAACACTTGGTCCTTAGTGGTGCTGTTTTGAATGATCATGGAAGCTTCTGGATATGGGGGTTAGCTGACAGAAGTAGGGCTCTGAAGGGGTGGGCTAGAGATTTATAGCCTGATCTCCCAGCTCTAGCCCAAGTTCTGTGCTTCCTGGTCCTTTGAACTGTGAGCAAGCTATGCCACAAGTTCTTACCACCATGGATGGTGCCTCCCTCTGCCATGCCTATTCCACCATGATGACCTGTATCCCCCGAACCATGAGTCAAAATAAACTTCCTCCATGCAGCTGCTTCTTGTCAGGTTATTTGGTCACAGCATGGAGAGAAGCTGTGGAGATGGCTACAGTCATTTCCACCCAGGGACCTCGCTTCTCCTGCCCTGCTTGTCTTGCAGGACCAAGATGTGAGGCTCTCCAAAGGCCCAACAGCTAAGTCTCTGGATTCTGTTTAAGTGTCTGAATTGGAGGTAGGATGCCCTACACTAGAAGTAAAAGTTTATTCACTTGTTTTCTTGTAGATCTGGAATCGAATCCTGGGTCTCAACCATGCTAGGTGAGTGCTCTACCACTTAGCTATATCCGCAGCTGCATATGATAAGAGTTTCGTTAAGCAAATAAGAAAACAAATTTTGTATTACCTAAATGATAATCCATTATGTTTATAATTTATACAGAATCCTGATACTTTCTATCTATTCTATCAAATAATGTAAGTAAGACCTGAAGAAAAGACATGCCTAAAGGACACAGGGATCTCAAACTTTGGGTCTGTCCCCTCTTCAGTCTCTTCCTTTTTCTTCTAATCTTCATCTCTGATATGGCAGGTAGGACCTCAAGGTCCATTATATCAACTGGTATGAGCTGCCTCATCTATCTAAGGCAGGTCCACTCAGCTCAAGATCCCATTTAGCCCTAAGTTCTACAATTCTACAGTGCTAGCAGCACACTGCATGCTAACATGGCTAGTTTGTGTAGGTAAACACAAAATCTGAATTCCTTCCAATGCTTTCATTTGCAGTTCATATTAAATAATGGCTATTGTTTATCCTTCCCTGATTATTTTGATGGAGCCAGTTTTGTTACAATAAAAAAGAATCTCATAAAATTAAATTTTAAAAGAAATAACTAGGATTACAAAGGTTTGAGTGTGTCCAGTAATGAGATTTTTAGAGAGTGAGCATGCCAATCCTCCCCAAGGGAGAAGTCCTTCCAAGCCATTGTCTTTGAAGGAGGCCACACTGTGATTGAGTTTCCCAAAAGCAGTTACACCTTCAAAGGAAACCTCCAGCAAGACTGATGAAAACTTCAATGTCCTGGAGAGTTCAGAATGTTGCAAGTCCAGAGCCAAATAGCTATCTTGGGCCATCTCTAGCTCTCTTAATAGCCATGTATTGCTCTCTTCTGTACCTGACCTAACATCCTTTGTGACCATTAGGTGAATCATTGGAATGTGCTAGTTTTCCTTTGGAATGTATTAACCTAGCAGACTGCCACTAGCTCCCACACCCCAGAAGCTAAAACCATCATCAGATAGCGTCTGAGGCCTGTCACAGGTTTCCCCGCTTTGCTGTTAACTTGCTTCTCTGATGCCTCCACTCACGATTTGGAAAGTGTCTTGATTTATGACTCTCTTTGTTTTACTATTAAAAACTTTGTGAAACTGTTACCACGTTGGTACATGGAATTTGGGTTGATGAACTCTATGTTCTCCAGGACATGGTCACTCATATTTGGCTCCAAAACAAACTATTTCTGGTCCTCTTTGAGGTGAGTTTTTTGCATCGACAACACTGATGCTTTCCTACGAACTCTTCTCAGGACCAGCAGCTCTTTCTCATTTTACCTTTGACTCAGACCAGTTATTTTACCTCTTTAATCAGACTGGACTTCAAATGGTTTGAAAGAATGAAAACCTCAAACTTGTTCTCAGGTGTTGGGGCTGTTCAACATAATGACCAGGAATCTTTGAGCAGCTTCTCAGCATGAAACCTAACCATCTAGAAAGCAAACTGCAGAATCTAGAATTACTCTATTGCCTTCCTTATACTCCACTGATGTGCCCCGACACCTGTAAGAAATGGCCTATTTGTTCCCATCATCTAAAGCAGGAATGCACGTGTAAGCAGATCAGGATCTGCTGAGCCAGGGCCTACTGCCTGCTGGTGGGGTGGGAGGCATGATTCCAAACCCTGCCTCTCAAAGTCCCAGTTGTCTCCTTCTGTGAGAACGGCGAGAGCAAAGCAGAGGCAGTGTCTTCCTCTGTCAGGAAAGGCAGAGTGTACATGTTTTCTTGTAATGTTCTCCTGTTTATAGGATGGCTTCCACAGAACTCTTCCATTCCAAAGCTCTGCAATTTTGCTTCTCAGTGCTCCAGAGAAACCAAAATAACATGAAGAAATTGCTTCAGTGGAGACATGGCATTTGGATCCAGCCCTCACTGAGTATGAATGATAAATAACTTTTTAACAACACACAGTGAAATTTCAATGTATTACCCTGTCCCTTCCAATTTCCTACTTGCTGTTCAACAAGCTGAAGAAGGTGGCAGAACTTTCCGGACTCGTTCTCTTCTCCTGCAATCTCACAGCCCTTCATCACCGCAGCTGCCATGTACTGAGAGGGCTAAGGTCTGGGACGACACATGACATAAATTTCCCCTATGCAGTGTCAACAATTGTCAGTGCTTTTTAAGATCTGCCAAGTCAAAGGGCTATTTGTAGGCTGTGATGTGGCGAGCCGAGGCATCTGCTCAGTCTGAGGCTCTGAATCCAGTGAGTGGTACCACATTAGCCTGCTAACCCCATGGCCTGGCTCAGGGCCAATGGGACATGTGCTTACCATGCTGCCACAGGAATGTCTATGGCTCTCGTCACAAGCCACACTTTTCAGCAGGAAAAATTGGTTAGAACAAGTTTTTCAATCCATTACAGTCAGGACTGGGTCAAATTAAGAGCAAGCAAACTATTTGCCCATAATATCAAGTAAGATATGTGTATTTGTTTCTTGTATTTCAGAGAAACAGAGGTGCCTATAGATTTGAGCTGGTACTGAACAGCACTGGTATTTAATTAGATCCTGGTCTTGGCTAGTAAGTAGGTTGGAAGAGTTAACTATTAATAACAGGCTTTTAATTTGCATTTGTACTTAACTAGTGCTGAAGACGGACCTTAGGATTTTGTACACACTAAGCATAAGCTCCATACTAAGTCATGGCTCCAGTCCCTAATAAGGCTCCCTCTCTCCCTCCTTCCCTTCCTCTCTCTTTTCCATGTCATGTAGTGTATGCATGTATGAGCACAGGTGTGTATAAGGAAGTCAAAGGCTGATACTGGATGTCTTCCTCTGTTGTTTCCCACCTTGTGTTTTTGAACCAGGGTCCCTCACGGAACCTGGGACTTGTTTTTTGGCTACACTGACTAGCTAGTGAGTCCCTGGGATCTTTCTGCTTCTGCTTCACTCCTGGCTGATGGATTTGGAGGGTACAGCCCACTGTTGTGGGAAGGCTGGCAGAGTTCATTGCAGAGGGAGTGTGTGGCTGGGGCTCCCCACATCTCTGCAGACCAGGACACAGACATGGGACTAGAAGTATAGCTGTGACTTTCATCTCCTAGTGCCTCATCTCTGCAAGCCATGCTTCCTGTCTCAAATGTTTGACAACCTCTCAGGAAGTGCCACCAGCTGAGGACCAAGTGTTCAAATAGGTGACACGAGGGACATTCCATATTCAAACTACAATACCCCATTCAGAAAAGATGAAGAAAGAAAAGAAACTGTTGTATTTGTTTTGATAAGCATCAGACATAGTCTTTAAAAGGCATATGGGTGTGGGGGGTGCTAGAGAGATGGCTCAGAGATTAAGAGCACTTGCTGGTCTTGCAGAGGATCCAGGTTCGGTTCCCAGCACCCACATGGTGGCTCACAATTGCCTATAACTCCAGTTACAGAGTATCTGATGTTCTCATCTGGCCTCTGCAGGCATTGAATGGCATGGGTGTACTTACATACATGCAGGCAAAACACTCATACACATAAAAGGAAAAATAAATAAAAATTTACAAATTAAGGTGAGTATGGGGCTGGTAAGATGGTTCAGTAGGTAAAGATGCTTGCCACCGAGACTGAAAATCGAATCCAAAGCTGTAGGAGAGAACTGACTCCACAAGTTGCCCTCTGACCTCCACACGTGTATCATGGCACATGTTCACATGCATACACACATAAACACAATAAACATAAAGAAAGAAAAAAGATTATATGGGGTTTAAAAAAAAGATCTTAGTAGCTACATTTATATTTTTAATTTAATTTAGTCTCAATATGTATCCCAGGCTAGCCTCAAACTGCTGAGCAAAAGTGGTATCTCAGTCTCTTGATTGGCTTGGACTAAGGTGCATACCACACTTCATTGCTGACATTTTCATCTACAAAATGGAGACAATGCTGCCTCCTCCTAAAGCCCAGCCAACATTAAATGAAGCATTGCATGCAAAACACAGTGTCAGGGCTGCTTAGGATGTTTGGTGGTAGTCAGTGTAGAGCACATTGATAGAGCTCAGGATCCAGAGTGCAGAAAGAGCCATGGGACAGCTCATGGAATTCACTACAGAGGAAGCATACCCATTCCAGGCTCTAGTTTGCAGAACCTCAAATCTGAAAGACAAAGTATAATTCGAAGCAAGCCAAGCAAAGGTAGAATGAGCTGAGCTGAGCACAGTGACTCCTGACTACACTCCAGGTATCAGGAAGCTGAGGCAGGAGGATTGCCCAAGCCCAAGGGGTTGCGATCTCAGCAACACAGTGAGATCCAGCTCAAAAAAAGAACATGTGAACTGAGAAAATTAAAATAGGAGGTGAAGTCTCCCTAGTACCACTGTATTGCTGGAGGTACTCATAGTCTCCCTGGCAGTAGATGGGGTGATCTGCTAATAATACCAATCTGAGCAAAGACCCAAGTGCATATGGGGCAGAGGTGAAGACCAGCCTGAGGTCAGTGCTGTTCACTACATGATGCAGATGGTGCTGCAACTAAGTCCCTCCTTTGGTAAATTGAGGCAGTCAGATTAGCTGGAGCAAGGTTTGATAGTCCTAGCATTTTATGACACCCCAGGAAAGAAAAGTGAAACCCAAATAAATTATGAATAACATCCTTATTTCATTTTAATTTATTTTTATTTTTTGGCTTTTTTTGAGACAGGGTCTCCCTGTAGCCCCACTTGGCCTAAACTCGTCATGGAGACCCGGCTGGCTTTGATCTCACAGAGATTCGCCTGCCTCTGCCTCCTGAGTGCCACCTAACACCCTTATTTTAAACAGGTCAAGCTTCACTATTTAACCAAAGGGAAGGATTCAAATCCCGCAGAGGGAAATATCCTCATGAGTGGATGATGTTATTTTCAGTGACATACACACAAAGTGTCATCAAGGCACAAGGTCAGAACTCACAGGTCATATATCTTATACTGGCATCATTATGACAACAACCAACCAATAAAGGGGCCCTCATCATTTTATTTACTTCTATTTTATGTATATGAGCATTCTGCCTGCAAATAAGTAAGTGCACCTGTGTCATGCAATGCTTGTGGCAATCAGAAGAGGGTTTCTTGGAACTAAAGTTATGGACAGTTGTTAGCTACCCGTGGGTGCCTGTGAACTGAATCTGGGTCCTCTGCAAGCACAGCCAGTGCTCTTAGCTGCTGAGACATCTCTCCAGCCCCTTCTCCTTGTTAAAGGTATATTTTAATACTGAAATCAAGGAGCTAAGTATTTAGCAAATATTCCTGGCAGGATTCAGAACAGACTGGGGTCAAGAACCTCTCTGAAAGGTTTCGGCACCAGCTGGGCAGCAGGTGCATGCTACATGTCCAATATCTGAACTCACTTTTAGGCAGTTCACAGAGGCCTCCTGGTCATTCTTGAACTTCTCAGATATCCAGAAAGCTGGGTTAAGAAGCTACACTTTACAGCATTTCAGTTTTGTTTTTAATTTTTTAAATTTATGGTTTTTATTTTATGTGCATGAGTGTTATGCCTGCATGTATGTAAGTACACCCAAGTCAAGCAGTACCCACAGAGTACAGAAGAGGGCATTGGATTCCCTGGGACTGGAGTTATGGACAGTTGTTAGCCACCATGTGGGTGTTTGGATTCAAACCTGGATCTTCTGCAAGAGCAGCCAGTGCTCCTAACTGCTGAGCCTTCTCTCCAGTCCCCAGGATTTCAGTTCTAAACAGGAAGCTTTTGCCATTTCATTAAAGCTGCTTGTAAAGAGGTAAAAATCAACTAACATTTGTTGAAAACAAGCAAGATGTATCCCACAGTGGAAAGACACAAAATGTTTTCATTGAAACTCCTAGGTTCCAGCAGACAGAACATACCCACACGTGGGTATATAAAGTCCTCTTTCTCTACAGCCCTTGAATGAAGGGTTAACATTAGTGTTTCCTGCTAGAATTTCATCCCAGAAGAGTTTTTTGACTGATGAAGTGTCAGACCTGGTGCGTAAGTGTCACTATTACCACTTGGATCTGTGGGTCGCACTGACAGCTTGGTTTCTGGAAGGGAAAACTTCCTGCCAAGAAAAGCCAGATGGCTTCTCTGATTCAAGACATCATTCTTCCCTTTCCACTAACTCTCTCCTCTTACTGCCACCCCTGTCTGCTAAGCCTGATTCACTGTCATTTTGAATAAGTAAAGATGAAAGTTAAGATTTAGCCATCTTATTAATCTGCCAGCTGAAATGGCCTCCATCAATTTAGTATCTTATGAATAATGCTTAAAAAGTTTGCCTTCAGCTGGAGGTGGTGGTACACGCCTTTAAGCCTAGCTCTTGGGAGGAGGAAGCAGGCAGATCTTTGTGAGATCAAGGCCAGCTTGATCTACATAATGAGTTCCAGGCTAGCTGTCAAAAAAAAAAAAAAAAAAAAAAAAAAAAAAAAAAAAAAAAAAAAAAAAAAAAGTTTGCCTTGAAAAACAGAATTTTCATTGTGGTGTGATAGTCTAAAAGGTATCTAAAAAAGTAAGAGTGACAGGAGCAACAGCAGGTGCATGACCCTGCTGGTTTTCCCATCAGTACTGCAACCTCTGCCTCACTCAGCTGTGGCTAAAGGCTAACCAGGAAAACATTTTGAAAATAATGTGGCTGCCTCTGGATCTGCTCCATTAAATGCACTCTCTCAATTTTACATCATTCTTGTGAATGAAATGGGGTGTTATCTGAAGTCCAAAAGTAACTGATTTACATCTTCTCTGATAGAAAAGTTCAGTGCTGGGGTTGTATCTTTATAGTAAGGCATTTACTTAAGATGCACAAGACTTTATGATAAGTTACCAGCATCACAGAAAGAATGAATACAAGAACGAGAAGGGGAGGGGATCTGTAAAAGTTCAGAAAAGTTGTCTCTTTGGCTAGAAAGATGGCTCAGCAAGTCAGGTGCTTGCAGCCAAGCCTGACAACCTAAGTTCGATTCCTAAAACCCACATGGTGGAAGGAAAGAAACAATTTCTGCACGTTATCCTCTGACCTCCACACATGCCCTGTGTCATGTGTGCGCCTGCCCACATAAATGTAATAAAAAAATTGAAAGTCATTCATTTCATTTCCTATAAAGCATGCAAAACTGAGATTATAATGTCAAAGACACAGAACCTATATATGAATTTATCTGTCTTCATTGTGTATTTATTCTACAGACACAGGGTGCTTGTATCCTAGTTAGAACCATGAGTTTTTGAAGAAAGAGGCTCCCAAAGAATTTATCATGAAGTAGGAATAGAGACACTAACAAGAGACACTTCTGCCCTTTTCTTGCCCTGCGTTTGGACTCAGACTCTCTTGGCATTGCTAAACCAGGTGCAGCTCAGGCTAATGACTGACTTCCTGGAATTATTCCAGCCCCACAAATATTCCCATGGAACAAGCTTGGATCCCTCCCCAGTGCTGCCTGCCAATCACCAGGCAGCCTTACCTTTCTCTGATTGACATGGTTTTGCTGGGTGAATCCAGGCCACCCTCACCCCCTGGCACTTTGACCTCTCCAGCAGCAAACATGGCACACGGGCTCTTGTAAATTTTCTCAACTAGAACCTCTGAGGAGTCTGGCTGCTTCCAGGTCCCTGGGGCTGCCGTCTGAACAGAAGTCTTCGCAGCAGCCGGCCCGGCCTGCTCAGAAGCGGGCTCTCCGAACTCTGCTGTTAGAAAGAAAAGGAGCAATATTTGCATTACTCCCACAGCCAGCACCCTCCCGGGCCACCCACGAGCTAGGCTGGCACTTTACCACTGAGCTTCAAACCCAGCACTGAAACTTGCTATTATATAGAAGCTACAAGTGGTTACATTTGAACATTAAATAATACTGTTGTCCCATTTCATTGGCAAGAATGGTGTAGGATAGAGAGTGTTTGTTTACATGGGGCAACCTCAGTGTTCTGGGGTGTTTTCCTGGTCGGCCTTTAGCCATAGCTGGGTACAGCACTAGCGTCAGGCTGTGGCACATGGCTGGCCACCCAGGCCAATGGGATTTATGTCGACGTGCAGCACGCCACTGTGAAAATATGGCTCCCCTATGTGTCAGCTGTGCTGTACACTGGGATGTTTCTACTTCTCTAAAACAATGCATTTCTATTTCTAGAGTGCTGGACTCACAGTCCAAGCCCACCACAACGGACACAATTTCATTGTAAGTAAACAGAAGCAGAGTAGTGTCCTACACGGATGGCTTACTAACCTGCCAAACTGAAATCCTAAAGAGAGCCTGAGTCACACCAGCTCAAGTCCTTCTTCCCTGTGTTCAGAGGGCATTAGACCTTTGCCCCATCAACTTAATAAAAGTGGCTAACACAGCTAAGGAACTCAGAAGGCTACTGTGTAAATTAATCTCACTGAAGTCACCTGAAATCCTTGTCAAGATGTCTAAAGGGTTGTAGTCACTTCCAATGCTTCAACTTGCTCAGTTCCCTGAAGCAAGTCAGATTCAAAGGGTCTAGGGGGAGACTGATTCACACTGAACTTTTGATCCACCCTAAGGACTGTGTCTACATTTACTTAAAAGGAATCAGGAATGTGTGCAACAAGTCAGGTAGAACCCAAAAGCCCTTCAGAAAGCGGTAGGAGCTACAACTTCTCACCTTTGAGTGAAAACTTCCTGGTGCCATTCTCCACGGTGACATTCTCTTCAAAACCCTGTTTGTCCAGGTTCACTTGAAAACTGCTCTTAGCAGCAGAATATTCCTTCACGTCATCATCAAGGTGGGCGACAGAAGGGTTACTCAGTTCTAAGCTTCCTCTTACAGCGCCATATTTAGGCTCCTTATAGCTTCCTCCTTCCCTGACTCTGCTGAGGATGGGCAGGGAGGGTTCTGCCTCTTCCAAGGACCCAAATGTCTGAACAGCGCTGTCTGCCATCAGTGGGCTCTTGCTTTCTGTCTCTCCAAATTCCCTCAGCATTCTTTTGCACCCACTGCTCTCTGCCAAAGGCTGCCAGCTCTGTGTTTTCAGAATGCTTCTGACTGGAGAGTCTGGATTTTCCATGGGAGAAGAGAACTTATAATCAGTGGCACTTGTATTGTCGTCAACAGATGGTTTTGTCCGAAGTTCCCCTGCATATGTGGGAGCAACTGCGGAGGCCACGGTAGATACTGATGTGTTCACAGTGGGGGAGAAAGAGATGAGTTTACCGCTCTGCACCTGGGAGGGAGAAACATCGGCTGCCTCCACTCTCAAGGGACTGGCACATGCAGACACAACACACCCACAGTGCAGCTTCCCTGCTCATCTTTCTGAAAACCACCCCACACAGTTGCAGAACAGACAGAATGTGTCACAAACAAAACCCTCTGTGGAAACAGCTTGTCCCTGACATACTTTTGCCTTCTAAAATGGATTCCTTCCAAGCATATTATGAAAACAAGTGGAGAGATGCAAACATGGGTGTGGTTCTTTCTTAGGGTCCACAGGATGAAGCCACTTATCAGTAACAGTTCACCTGCCAACCCGTCATCACAGGAGCCCAGGAACAACACTGTACTGAAAATAACACACACAACTGCTGGAGTCAGACCCCATGGACCCACCTGCTCCACCTCTCCAAGCGTGACCGGCTGGGTCTGATAGCGAGCATTCATCCTCCTCTGTCTCACGTCTATTCTGTTTCGGGTGGAAATGGCTTTGGAGACCGGCTGGGACAATTTGTTAAACAAGGCCAACTTCTCCGCTAAGCTCAGTGTAGAGGAATCAGGTTCGCCTGGTTGGGCAGACTCTGTGCCCTCATTTGCCTGGTCCCTGGCTAAAGCTTTTTGGTGAGCAGACGCCTGTAACCTAAAAGGAAGGAGTGAAAAGTCAATCACACAGATTAAAAGCAAAAGTCCTCTGTGAATTTTAATATATTAACTTTCTACAAAATGTCACTGAGATTTTGTAAAGGACTGATTTTCTTTACATAAATTTGGGACGGGGTAAAGGGGGTGCAGGTAATTGCTTAGCTCAGGCAAGTAGTGAACAGTAGGGTCAGCTTGGGACACCAGTGTCAATTCTAGAGCAGACAGATTTTTAGCTCCGAATCATTTCAGGAAATAAGCATAAACAGGAAATTTCCTGTTTAAGGAAGACAGTCAGCCTGGATATACCTTACCTTAGAAAGATGACACACGGTTAGTATCAAAATGACTAAAGTTAAAGGCAGAAGAGTGTTTCCTTAGTCATAGTTAGACATTCTCTAAAGATGGGGCTGGGATAATGTCTTTACTTTAAATAAATAGGAGCAATAGGGTCTCCTGCTAATAGCACATTCTACAATGCAGGATGGTGTTTGTACTTGACAGACCCAAATGTGTTGATATTTTAAAATCTTGTTTTTATTTCTTTATTTCTTTATTTCTTTTGAGAGAGGGTCTCCCTGTGGTACCTGCTGGCCTGGAGCTCACAATGTAGACAAGGCAGGCCTTGATCTCTTAGAGATCTGCCTGCCTTTTCCTCCCAAGTGCTGAGATCAAGGGCCTGCGCCACCACACCCAGCTTTAAACCTTTTATCCCCCTTCGGTTAACATGCTTTTCACCAGTGTTTCTACCAGTTTTTAAAAGGTACTTAAATCTAATTCTCAGTAACTTGAAAAGTGAAGAAAATTTCAAGTGATTAAATATCCCTCCAACTAGGGCTAAGGAGGCAACTCTGTGGTAGAGCGCTTACTTAGCAGGTGCAAGGCCCTAACACAAAATAACAATAACAACAACAATAATAGCAGCTTCCAACTACTAGGGAGAGTAGAAGGCAGGCTTCTGCCTCATGTGGTCAGTGTGCTTCTTGAAAGCTCTCCGACAACATTCTCTACAATGCACTGTTCCAGTGAGAGTGTGTCCAGACTTGGCACTACTCAATCACCGATCCGCAGACAGTCCCAGCCCAGAGACCATCCTGTGTGTCGATTAATCACCAGGGCTGTGAGCACGGACACCTGAGCCTCGGAGCCTTTCTTGAGCCCAGGGCTACAAACTGGACTGGTCACAGCTTTTGGATCAGGTCAGTTCATTCCAGCTCTTCCATTTTAATTCTTTGAATCTTATTTTTAGATTTTGTGCTCTGGATCGTTACAGTAAAGCAAAGGGGATATTCATATGATTTAAGAACATAATTTTAAAACACCATAATTTAAAACCTTACCATATAAAATATATAATCAACCCTAAAATACAATGGCACTGTCTCTCTACAAATTTGAAACAGGGGTATTTGTTTTCAGTCTGTGTGTACATATGTTTAAAAAAACTAAGTCTTACCAGAATTTTAATATTCGGGTTAATGCCCCATTTTTGGATTAGTCTTTACCTGCTAGTATTTTGGATTAAAGATGGATTTCTTGAGGAATGATCATTATCATGGAAAATGAACACAAATATGTAAGCAAGTTAGTGTGATCTTAGTGCTGACATGAGAAGCAAGCAGATAGACTTAAATGTATTTCATACAGGCAGGCATGATATCACCAGTACCTCGCACTATGACAAAACAGAACATCACACATTTTGGGAGCACACATTGCACTGACTTTGTCAAACAAATGAAAGGCATTCCAGATGCATCTGCTGCCCAGCACCTTGGCACTGGGTGTGGCATGCAGCTATGCGTGTACCTGGCAGGCTGCACAGTGCTCCTAGCTACAGTGGGAATAGGAGGGCTCGCCATTATGGGGTGGGCGACCCCAGAACATGAAGCAGGGGTAGGTTCACTTTAAAAGCAATGGCCAGAGAAGCAGTCATGAGGAGAGAGAAGAGAAGAATAATTAAGGAAGGCACAGTTTTAAATTCAGAAATGCAAAATCAAATATTTTTACCAAAAATATTTGCTAATCACTTTGGGGGAGGGGATCACAAAAGAACTTGGAACTCAACACAAATGGAAGAAACGAGACAGGCTTCCTAAAATAAACAGACTAAGCAGAGGTATAAGCTTGTGAGAGATTCATCTTAGGACAAAGCCTCATTTTTAAAAGTAATTTAAAAAGCTAGTATCAGTCACAGTCAATCAAAAGATTCTGGCCATAGTTTAGAAGGTTCTTCTCAATGTACTTTCTAGAAGAATCAGTGACCTCATGAAGCAATAAGCATATCAAAATAAACCCACCAAGCCCCTGACAGGTGGTCATTTCCCATCTACTGTTTGGTTCCACAGGCATCTGTGTCTTATTTTATACCAGCCACTCTGAGACATTCTTTTTTAAAACAAATTGATAAGCTAAGAGGTCCTAGTTAGTATACAGATGCACTTGTCTATAAAACACTGAGACAATTAGGAAGCTGATGCTGGGTGTACAGCTCAGAGCTAGAGCATGTGCCAAGCACCCACAAGGTGTATGGACCCAGTGTTAAACCCAGGACTGTTAACACTGAAGAATACTTTGGGAAGAAAGTAAAAGCCAGTGACTTAACAGCAGACTCCCGGGAGCAAACTAGAGACAGAGGCTTCTTGGGATGTCAGTACTCCACAGAAATGATTGTTTAAAAAAAATGCCAGGCATGGTGGCACATGCCTTTAATCCCAGCACTTGGGAGGCAGAGCAGATCTCTGTGAGTTCGAGGCCATCCTGGTCTACATAGTGAGTTCCAGGCCAGCTGGGGCTACAGGGAGCTTCTGTCTCAAAAATAAATAAATAAATAAATAAATAAATAGATAGATAAATTAATAAATAAGTAAATAAATCCAGTTGCTGAGATGAATCAGCCAAGGATGGCTCTGAGCAGACTGCTCAAAGTGGGTATTCTATCTTTTGGAAAGTCATCCAACTGCCAATTAATTTTTAGACATTTTTGGTGATGATTTAGAAACAAAATAAAAGCTTATCTTTCAGAGATATGTACTGAAATATTTATGGATGAAATGTCCTGGGTTTGGCTGCTAATGACACAGCGGAAAAAGATCACCCAGGAGCTGGTGCCACTGAAACCTGTTGTAATTCACTTGCTTTTATGTTTTACATTTTCCGTTGTGAAAAAGATAAAATACCAAAGCACAAGGACACAAACACCTACGACGTTGCGCTCTGTGTTCTAGGACCTACACAGGCAGCTTGCCCCACTACTGCTGAGACGGCAGCTAAAGCACCATGAAATACGCACTTCTGGCTATATCATATCCCTGCTGCCTCATTTTTATTGAAAAATCTTTCAAAAGAAGACAGCATAGGCCAGGCTAAGAACTCCCCACAGACGCACGTGGCAGCGATGACCACTTCCTCGGTGGTGACTGGCTGGGTGTGTGACCGGTCCTGCAGGCGACGCAACCGCTGCTCCACAGCTGCGTTTCTTGAGCGTCTCTTGGGGATGTTCTGTTCATCAAATGATTTCTCCATCTCCTAAGGTTAGAAACATTGTAGAATCCTCATAGATTCAAAGAGAAAACTGGGCAGCAGTGTCTGTATGCTGCTCTCTTGCAAGGCCCACTAAGGGGACACCAAGGAGATGAGGGATCCTGATGAGGAGTGAACACTCTAGACCGGTTGGCTGGGTGGTCGAAACCAATCAAAGCAGATGCTGGAGTCTGGACCTAGGATGCTACCTAGTTAAAGGCTTGGTTCCCAATTTGGTACTAGAGGAACTTTTAAGAGTAAAGCTTAGTGTTGAGATAGCAGGTCCCTGGGGATGAACCCAAAGGGAACTGTGGTACTCCTGTCTTCCTCTCTGTCATTCCTGCCACCAAAAGGTGAGTAGCTTCCTCCACCATCTGCTCCTGCCGAGATATGCTGTCTCAACACAGGCCCAAAGCAACAGGGTCAGATGTTCATAGAGTGGAACCTGTAAAACTATGAGCCCAAATAAACCTTTCTTCCTTTTAATTTGATTATTTCAAGTATTTGGTTACAGTAATGGAACACTGACTAATTCAGCACAGGAAGAGAACAACAGGTATTCCAGGTGAGGAGGACCTAGGAGCTTCCAGAAGTATGTGAGGTATCAGAGCCCACTCTGGAGGGGTTGTTTTCTAAGCAAGCACTTCCGAACACCTTACCCTAAAAAGCAATCTCTTGGCAGCAACACTCAGCTTGGCGCGTTCATCGACCTTTTCCTCATCTGTAAAAAGGCAGGAGATAAAAAGTGAACACCATGAGGAAGCAAACCATGTCTGGGAAATGCTTTTCAAGACTGACCTGGGATCACTTGAATCCAGAACCAGTGAACTGAAATCACATGTTGGACAAGCCCAAAGGGAGCTTTCTCTAATACTAACGCACATCACAGCTCACATAACTGAGTCCAGACAGTGGTCCCTCATGTAATAATTTGACTAAGATTTAAGAATAGATTTTACAGAAGGATTGCTCTTGCTCAGGAACAGCAGCAGTAACCAGTAAAGCCTGCTTCTTTGGTTCAAAACAGTTGTTATATATTAGTCACCTAACAAGTCTCTTATTTCTTTAAAAAAACCCAGGGAAAACTTAATTGATATTTCAATTAGGAAATTTCACTGGGAAACCCCAGTAAGGATACTCACAGAAAACTAAGAAACTGATAGTGCCCTATCTTTCTCTCCCCCAAAGCCCCAAATCTTAGCACTGAAATCTAATTTCAGTGCAAAAGGAGAAAAACAAAAACAGACACTCACCCTCAACCACTGCCATTTCTGACCCTGAAGGATACCTAGGAAGGACATTAAGAGATAATTATTGGTGGGTGTACAAGATTTACAAGACGTTAGGCTAAGCAAAGTAATACAAAGGATACAACCGAGCCATCTTAAAGACTACTACCCCAGTGGGAGTTCTAGCTGTGACCACACAGTTGTTAACTGGCACTGTGGAGTGTGTACACACAACCCCTGCCTGGTGTACAACTTGTGGAGAAAAAGCAGTTATTACAAGTTTCTACACAGGACTGAGGGCACATTTTTGAGGAACCTTTTAGTTTCTATACAATAGCATAGGATGATGTAATATAAAAGTGTAAACATAGAAAGTAAGTCATTCCTTATAAAATGAATACAGAATTCTTTTCTTACTCTCTGTGGTGCTATTTAATTCAGATTAAAATGAAAAGCAATGAATGAAGACAAATGTTTCTTCTCACCATCTGAATGCAGTTAAAAACCATAGTGTGATACTGTTGGAAATGCATTTCAGTAAGTCACATAAATATCCTTACGGCGGAGATGGAAGAATCTCAGGATCCCAAGATCCTGCACAAACCATGTCAGGTCCGCCAGTGCGGTGAGCATCCTTTATTCATATTGCCAGAACTACACATAAGCGCATGCCTACCTATCAGACTCCTTTCGCTCTGCTGAGGTTATAGGTTGAGTTCTAAATCTCTCAGAAGTTTTTCTACTTTCACCAGGAGAAAGATAGCGTCTTGGTTTTCGAGAGCCTCTCTCCCGCTCAGTGGGCAAGCCACCTCCTTCGGCTGACTTCTCAACCCGGGATTGGCTTTTAGAACCACAGGGCAAAGAGTGCACAGCAGGGGGCCAGGAAGACAGAGAGAGAATAGAAGACATTTATGTATCTCAGTGAGCCAAAGCACAGAGCTCTAAATTCTGCATGCCGCTACCACGCACATCTGCACTGGAACATTCCAGAGACCCACTCCTCCAGATCCCCATTAGTATGCAGAAGCAGAGTGGTAGTGTGTGAGCCATTTCCTGTACACTCTGCCCTGCACACACTTGTGAGCTAAGCTAATAGGACACAGCACAGGCTGTGAATGGTCTGCCAAGGGCGTGCAAGTGACACATCGGGAGGGCGTTGGGAACATCACCTACAGTTCAGGTTTCTTGCTGGCTCGGGTTGACTCCAGAAACACATTTCGGAGTTGTGCGACGGAGACCTTGGTGTCCAGCATGCTGGCTTCTGCCCCAGGACCTTCTGCCCTGGAACTCTGAGGCTCCAGCTCCTGCTTTGGAGCAACATCCTTGCGTCTGGAGGCCTGGAGCTGAGGGGGACCCGTGTAATCTGACAGGGAACGGGCCAGGACCTTACGCTTCTTTGGAGTGGCTTCTTTTGTGTGGCTGGTCAAGGTGGCATCTTGAAGCACAGGCTCACTCTGAACATATACAACCATTTCGCTTCTGCCCACTCTCTGGGTGGGCTGGTGCTGAGCCTGTGGCTCCCTGCCAGGCTCTGAGGTGATGATACTAAAGGAGGTCTTACCTAAGTCTTCGTCCTCATGGCTTCTCACAAGCCCATCATCCACCATGGTCAAAAGTGGTTTAGGGCTTCTCTCTGGAGCTTCAGGGAGGGGGACATCTTCTGTTTTGGCTTCACAAATATGGAGGACTGGAGCATCTCTTGGCTCACCTTCTAGAACCTTCAAGGTGGTAGGTTTCATGACATTTGGGGTGGTTGGTCCTACCCAGCTGCACTCAGATGCACTTTCCAGGGTGTCTGAGGTCACCAGCTTGATGGCATGAACAGGGTCTGCTGGCAGAACACAGCTCCGGCTGGCCTGCAGGGAGCTCACGGCTTTGCTGGCAACCCTATCAAAGGCGGAGCTCTCTGACTGAATGGACACGAGATGCACTGGGATGGGCTGCTGCCTCCTGTGAGTTAAGGACTCTGAGGCAAGTTCAGGGCTGCTGCGAGCACTCTCCTCTTTCACCAATTTTTCTCTAATTTTAACTCTTTAAAAAAGAAAAAAGGATTTAGGTTGAACATGTAGTTAACTGCTGAACAGGAAGGAAGCATGCGCAGACCATAGATTGCCAGCAAGGTAATAAACTCAGAGAAGTGAAACCGCATTTCAGTGTTTAATACAGAACATGTCGTACTTGCCAGATAAGTGGTTTGGAGTGAAATCTCCAAATTTCTTTTATAGTCCAGTGTGGCTCCAAAGTTTTAGCCCCTGTAAAGCTGAGGGTCAGATGCTGCCCTGGGGGACCTAGTAGCCCCCCAAAACTTCATACATATGCACCACCGTGAACATCAGGGCATACCAGGACTCTTTGCACATGTCCAGGTATGGACTGTGGGGTATGGCGGGCTGTGTCATGTTTATACCCATGAACTTACACCACTGCTATCTCACTGTCCCCTGAATATGTGGGGGTATTTGTCATTGTTTATGCTTTCTACTGTGCTAAAGATGCCTAATCACATCTCTTGAACCACTAAGCACAACATATACAAGCTTTTCATGCCACAAAGACTGTGTTCATCTGTTCCCAAGATACGGCCAATTTGGATGTTATTGCTGCCAACTGCAACATCAAAGATATGTCAGAATTACAGAAGGTGTTTGTTGGGCGAAGAGAGTGGACCCCTCAACCCCTTTGCTATTATTCCCTAATTAAAACCTAACCTAAAGAGAGATTTCCCTTCATTGTTTCTAATTTTCAAACATTTGAGAATAAAATTGAAAAAACATTTCAAAAGCTACCTTTTCTATCACTGAACAAGTCCACTAGCCAAGAGCCCTGGCTGATGGAACTCACCTGCCCTTTCTGAACCTGAGTGCTTCACCCTTACAATGCAAACAGTGGGGGAGTGCTCAGTGGTGAGGACTGGACTAGCATATGTGAGGCCCTTTACTTGATCCCCAGCCACAGGATAATGGGAGTTTTACAGAACCAGTGGCTTCTGGCTTAGAAGAGATAAAACATTTAGTAAAGTGTTAGTGCTCCTTGTCTTCCTTTTTGAGATGTGCTGCGGTGCAAAAGGAGAAAGATCTCTGCCTGAGTACAACCTTTAAAAAGTACAGGTTTTAGGGTAGAACGCTTTCTTGGTACAAAAAAACAAAACAAAAAAAGCTTTAGCTTTCATTTTCCTTAGAGAAGTCAGTAAAGGTAAGTGTGTATAACACATACTTCATAGAATGGCCCCAGTTAGGTCTAGTGCATCCTATACTCATAAAAAAGGTCCTTAGCTTTCCAACAGGGCATCCGTGGTAGGCTTCCTTAAAGAAAAAGCAGAAACATTCATAAAGGTGGTAACTGTGTGCACTTGTGGAAGAAAAGCATTCTGAGCTGTCACTTTTCCCTAGACCAGGCAGAGCTGGAGATCTGCTGGTCAGAATACTGAACTTCAGTCATGTTCCCCATGGAATGTGTAGTCCTAATCAGCCAGTCTCAATGTATTCCTCAGCAGAGAACAAAGCCACTGTCAAAAACAATACACAGAGCTCTGTCCATCCAGTGACTTGGTCATTCCACCTCTCTCAATCATTAAAATGACTCAGGTTTTGTCTGTTTTTAAAGCTACAAGCCCTAAATTTGACTAATGGAAGTTAGTGAATGGTTTAGAAACAAGGAAGTAGAAGCCTGAGAAGAGAGGTCCGTGGCTGGCAGGGATGTGGGTAGGGCAGGGTGGCTCAGAAGGAGCTGCTCTCTACCACCCTCTGCTGGCTAGCTCTGCGTGCCATGGTGAGGAACACACACACACACATACACACACACACACACACACACACACACACACACACACACACACACATACTAAGGAGATAGTCAAGAATCAGGGGAACCAGAAGGGAGAAATACTGTCAGAGTGGATTAGGGATTAGGGCAATGGGAGGAGAAAAGCAAATCATTAGAAAGCAGCTTCTTTTTGAACACATAATTTTCACAAGAGTGGGAAGAGGGTTAGTGTTAGTTAATGTGCAGCACAACAAGGCAGGACAGTGGGAACAGGAAGGCATCATCACAGACTCCCAACTGGGATGTACCTGGAAGGCCAGTTGATGAGTGAAGTAGTGTCCCCTTCTGAATCTTTCTGTAGAAACCACTCATGTTTGGGCTTCCCTGTACTACTGTGCACAAAACAAAACAACAATAAAAAAAACCCCACAGAAATTCAGGAAATCTCTATTGCAATGTTGACACACACACATACTATTTTACTGTAAGAGAAAACAGAAGGCTGCTCTTTGCTAAGAAATACTCATGTTGGCTTTTGAAAACATGTAAGTACATGGTGTCTTTGGAGTTTGCTTCTTGGAATTTCTTGGTCATCTGGCTCACTACAAAAAGCAAGAAGCAAAAATAAATACATCTGAAGCTACCAGAGAAGAAGTGGTTTTCAGTCATTGAAGGAGGAGTCTGTTTATTGTGGTATCCTGTTCACAAACACCAGGCAATTATCTTGTAAGAAGCTGGAATTAGGACTGAAGAGATGGCTCAGTGGTTAGGAGCACTGGATGATCTTGCAAAGGACCTGGGTTTGGTTCCCAGCACCCTCATGGCAGCTAACAATCATCCATACCTCCAGTTCCACGGATTCTGATGCCCCCGTCTGGCCTCTACAGGCACTACATGCATGTGGTACACTTGTAGGCAAAACACTCATACACATAAAATACATAGCCAAATACAAAGAGTGTCCATGTAAACAATATACAGCACAGAAAGAAGGTAGATAAAGAGAAATTTGGGAGACTGAATCTGCACTTGCAGGTATGCACTTTCCTCTTATCCTTTTATCAGTTACAAATGCTAACTCAGGGCAATTAGAATGCTGAATTAAAGGACCTCTGAGCGGCAGGACATGTGAAAAAGGGCTTCATCCTGGCTGTGAGAAAACCTTGCATCATGGTAAGACAACATTTGACTTACATTCATCCCTCACCACTCAGTCAGACATAACGCAAGGTGGAATGTTTCAGAATCACTGGGCTAGACTGAAGATAGTTTTGAAAAATACCAGAGGCAAGAAAAACCTGTTAACAATGCAAAATAAGCCACTCAAATACAGCCTCTCAAATGTCACCCTCTTACAATTTAGAAATAAAACACAGAAATTCTACCTTGAACTCATGAATTAGCTAAGGAGGAACTTGAACTGCTGATCTTCCTGCCTCTACCTCTCAAATGCTGGGATTACAGGTATGCACTACCACTCCTGATTTACACAGTGCTGGGGATCAAACCCAGAGCTACATGCAAGCTAGACAAGTACTCTATCAACTAAGCTATATTCTCCAGTCTTAAAATCTATTTTGTGGGGCCTAGAGGTGAGCCAAGTTCCATACTGCAGAGGCTACCTCCAGTGGGAGAGAACTGTAGAGTCACTGGGGCAGAATGAGGCAGTAACTTCAGGTGAATGGAATGGTTTTTGATGTGGTAATTGGCTGTAGAGAATTATATTCCCAGGAAGTAGGAACTCCCCATTTGTCTCCATAGCAGCCGGAGATGAGGAACTTGTAGAGTGTCCCTAAGTACATGATGGTTGCTTTGAACACCAAGAATCAACAGAAGTGCTTTTTGAGTCATGTACAGGGGTACATACCTATAATCCACCACTCAGAAGGCTGAGGTAGGAGGATCTAAGTTTGAAGTCAGCCTGGGCTACGTAGTGAGTTCAAGGCCAGCTAGGGCTACAGAGTGAGACACAGTTTCAAGTAAAAATGTGCTTCTTGTCACCACAGCAAAGCCACATCTACCTCTGGCTCAGTGGTTAAAAACACTGGCTGTCTTATAGATGACTGAGGTTCGGTTTCCAGCACCCACAGGGCAGCTAACAACCATCCTTAACTCCAGTTCCAGAAGCTACATCATCCTCTTCTGGCCTCCGTGGGCATTGCACGAATAGTGCACTTATACACATGTGGCAAACAACCGTCCCAAAAGGCTAAAGTATATCACACCATTCCAACCTCAATGTGATGTCTACTAACTTCTACTTTCTCCTAAAACTTAGCTAACTGGCCAAGTTACCTGTGTGGGAGACTGCTGCTTGGCACACATGCACAGCGTGGCAGTAGTGGACATGGCACACACTTCCAGAAACAGTTTTACACTGAAAGTCTAACTTGCATACATTTGAATTTTTGACCACTCTGCACGAGGGGCTGATATTTTGGGATACACATTCATATGTAATTCAATGGGTCAGCCACTTGCCAGTATGAACAGAATTCAATGAAAAACAAAAAGAATGACTTAACCACATATTAGCTGCCAAAAGTTGGTGGAACAAAGTAGGGAGAGCAAATGTTTGGGGCAGAGGGGAAAATAAACACAATTCCACAACCATGATGGAATGAATCTGTGAAGAATACCATCAGTCTCCCCCTTAGAGCAATGGATCTGAGATTTGCTTTCCATGATGCTCTGCACTGAAGTCTCAGCACCTGGTAGAACCCTGAGAAGATGAATGCCAGGCATGGCTCTCTCCTGTAGACATCGCTATCAGGGCATGCACATAGATCCGTGAGGCCTGAGGCGCTGGAGATAGCTTCTGGAGCCAAAGCTCTTATCAGATGAGCAAACAGGAAGGAGCTCTGGTGTCCAGTGTGAGTCTCTGTCATTCTTAGTGGCTGGCTTTGCCAGTTACGATGGTTCAGGAAAGCTTCACTCTGCCTTCCCGAGCCAGTCCATATTTCCCTTTCTTCACTGAATCATACAACCAATGGAGAAGATACAAGCATGCACTCAGGTTCACGTGACACACATTTAGTGAGCTCCTACCATACAAAGAATACTATGTAAAATCAGCTCTGAGAAGTAACAGAGACATCAGGATCATTCTGGTCATTAAAACCCTGTCGCTGTGTCCAAGGCAAGTCCTGACCAAGCCAATGTCATCATCATCCACCAAAGGCAACTCTCACAAGATCATCTTGGTGATCAGTTCTCCCCGAAATCTCCACAATTGGGTTCTAGTCACTAAGGGAGAAGGAACAGCCTGAGGGACTGCAGTAGAGTGCTGAAGATAACAAAGGAGTGCGTCATCCATGGAGAACAGGGTGTGAAGTTGAGTTTCATTCTCCACTTTCCCAGTCACATTACTCTCTGATAATGGGTGACAGGTGATGCTGGGGACCCTGGCGCACTGCTTCTGTGTTTCCATTCATAGAATAGCAAATATGCACATATATATTTTTTTCTCTCCCAATCTCTCTCTCTCTCTCTCTCTCTCTTTCTCTCTCTCTCTCTTTCAGAACATAAGAACTGAATAACAGATTCAACAAGAGTTTAGATACATGATTCCTGGTAGAAGCAGGCATTCATGTTTTTAAAATTGGAATAATCCACAGGATTATTCAATATATTAATAATAATATATTATCACTTTTATTTTAACTCACCTTTTAAAAAAATTATTTTATTATTTGTATTTTATGTGTATGCGTGTATTCCCTGCATGTAGGTAAGTGCACCTGTGTTGTGCAATGCCCATGGAAGACAGAAGAGGCTGTTGGATCCCCTGGAACTGGAGTTACAGGCAGTTGTTAGCTGCCATATGGGTGCTGGGTTTCGAACCTGGGTCTTCTGCAAGAATTGTCAGTGTTCTTAACTGCTGAGCCATCTCTCCAGCCCCAACACTCAACTTTTTTGAATTCAGAAACAACAGTTCATCTCAGGAATAGCTCTCTTCGGGTAACACAAGTTTGGAAGTTCTAGGGGTTTAGAGGCACTAGAAAAGCAGGGTTGGGGCCTGCCTTACACTACTCTATTTCACTAGAATATATATTCTTAATTTTCTTCAGAGTAATGTGTGCATTCAAATTTTTTGGCAAGTGACAGGATTTCTGAGTTGAAGGTCCTCAAAATCCATCCATCTATCCATCGCTAGTTTTTTTTTTTTTTTAATTATGTATAGATGTGTGCACATGAGTGCAGGAGCCTGTGGAATCCAGAAGAGGGCAGCAAATCTCCTGGAGCTGGCATTATAGGTGGTTGTGCGCTGCCTGAGGTGGGTGTTGGGAACCAAACTTGGTTCCTCTGCAAGAGCAGTATAAGCTCTTAACTGCTGAGCCATCTCTCCAGTCCCTCCATCAATTAAGTTTAAAACCTTCTCTATCCTGAGTTTATAGACTACTACAGAATTCCAAAATAAATTTATCACATAAATATTGGCCTAAAACTGTTATTTAGCTTATAATTCTTAAAAGCATTCTGGTACAAGAAAGTATAGGAGCCAAAGGTTGATGTGCACACAGGTCAGGTATGTGCAGGTTTCATGTGGCTGAGGGTACTCTGTGAACATCTGGTTCACATGTGCATTTTGAGGGCACTGAAGAAAAATCTTTGGATGGTTTATTTGTGAGTGGAATATTCATATTTAACCAGTGAGAGTCGATGGCCTTTTGCTGGGAAAGTGGAGAATGAAACTCAACTTCACACCCTGTTCTCCACGGATGATACACTCCTTTGTTATCTTCACTTTACTGCAGTCCCTCAGGCTGCTCCTTTTCCCTTAGTGACTACAGCCCAATTGTGGAGATTTCGGGGAGAACTGATCACCAAAATAATGCATTGGAAATAAGCTAATTCTGAGAGTAAACAGTCAAAAAAAAAAAAAAAAGCGTGGCAGAACTAGGTGATAAATCAGTAGGAAGAGTGACATGAAAACAGACCCTCTCTGAGAAGAAACACAGGTTTGAAACCAATCTGTTACTCGTGGCAACCCCTTCTCTCATTTAATCTTCTTAAATGTTCCTGCTGCGGATTCTCATGTTGATGACACTGGTGTTTTCCTGTGTGGTTGTTCAGTCTCAGGGTTTCATTTGTTATTGTTTTGAGTTTACAAAGCATTTTTTCAGGTTTTTTTTTTACTTCCTCCAGAATGGAAAACCCAAGTATGACTTTCCAAAACTTGAATTTCCTGGCTCTAGATAAAGGACTTTTAAGGAAAATATGAATCTACTTTGAATTCACTCTCATAGTCACTGCAAAGCATATTTTAAGTTTTGAAAACTCATACTCAGCATACACTATTTTCTGCCTCTCTTTATTAAAACGTGTCCATGGTATTTTCCTAATATGAAGGAAACAATTCGAATTCTATTGCTTGTGCCCCTGAGTGGCTTAGACTGTAACACCAGTGCCCCTTCTAACTCTTTTAAGAGTTCTCTGTTTTTGAGCCTTTTTTCCTGGAAGCACAGCAGTGATGCTAAGCCTGGGACAAAGACTTCAGGCAATGCACCTCTTCAAAATAACTTGGAATATTGGCTTGCTATTGTTGCAGGCCTCAGGAGATTTCCAATACTCTGACTGCTTTCAGATGTATACACCTGGGTATCTTGATATCAAACCTTGTCATTATAGCAATCTGAGATTTTCTTAGATGAATGTAATTGTTTCTCTAATTTCTATTCTAAATCAGTATCTTTTAAATCAAACCCGAGTTTGATCTCCCAAGACCCACATAGTGGAAGGAGAGAACCCACTCCTGTAGGTGGTCCTCTAACCTCCACATGCAAGATGTGACATGGTGTGCCTGCCTACACACACATAATAAACAAAATGTAATAATAAAAAATATTAATAAAAACAATTTCCTTTGATACACATAGCTAAAATAAGAACAGTGCTCCTATTGTGAAATGCATGTTTCCTAAAGAGCCCCTCAACTCCCCCCCATTCAAATATGAGAAAATAGGTCTCAGTGCCTCCGTTTCTGTTTCAAGTAGTTAAGTTCCATTGTTGAACAAAGGTCCTCAAATTACCTCCATGGTATTTATAAGATCTAATGATCTTAGTGGCTAACATCTAAGCATTGGGAATCTGGACGACCCAGATTTGGGACACAAAACAGTAACCAATGACTGGCCTCATGTGTACAGGTACCACATAAGAGGGATCAGACATTTATCATTCTGTCCCAATGTGAAACCAATAAGGGATACTTCCAACACAAGTACTTAAAGTAAATATACTGAATATATACTAACACACACACACACACACACACACACACACACACACCCTTCTCTACATGTACATATATTTGTGTCACATTTTTCCCAGACTAAATTTGATTGACTCTAGGTTCTCATCCCTTCTCAATTCACTCATAAAGCTGTTGTTTAATTGAACATATTTTAAGAATCTACGCAGACATTCAGCCTGACCCTTTAAGCCAGGTATTCAAGTAAACAGCACTTTAACATGGTCAATGTACTTTTTCAGCTTAAATTTATAAACAAACACATATTCTGTCCTGGTATTTGACTTTTGGGTTTTATCTTGTGCAGTTTTCCAGAACAGAGGCTGTTCCTGTGTGTGGCTGACCCTTTACCAGAGGATTCTCTCAGGGCTGTCCTCTCTAACAAGCTGTCCTTACTGTCTCCACACTTACAGAGCAATGCCTTACGGTTCGTCCCAGTGTTTGGTACTTAAATTCCACACCCTCAAGGGAGACCCTTTCCCAGGTTGGCACTGCCCTTCCTGACTTGTGGTGTGGACGTCAGCTTCGAAAACTATCCCCCTCCCCCACCCGCCCCAACTCAAGTCTTAGGTTTACCAGAAAAGGAAACAAAATGATAAAATTATGAAAGGCAGCTCCGAAATTCAGCAAGGGTCCTGCATGGAGGCTTTGTTTGAGAGACAGACAGACATAGGTGGGGGGGAGAGGAAAGAGAGGAAAGAGAGAGAAGGGAGGTTCTTGCTTTGGTGGGGTCTGTGCCTACTGCAGAAACGACAAAGCACAGTTCCCTCCGCTGCTGAGGGGAGCACTACCAGCTCCCCTACACAAGGCAGGGGACCACCCTGCGCTTACCTGCCTCGGGCCTCGGGGAGCAGTGGCGCATCCCCAGGGTGGCTCGGGGAGTCTGGCCGCTGCAGTGGTGAGCCGGCCATCTGCTTTGGGGACCTTGGCACTTCGGGTAAGGAGGCACCTTGCCCTGAAAAGGCAGGGGAAGTGTGGCTGGTCGGGGGCTCTTGGCCGCGTCTCTGGTTCTCCATGTTGAGCAGCAACTCCTGGTCCGAGAGGTCGCTGCCCAGCGGGGCGCAGACCCGGGCCTCTGCCGCACAGGTCCTGGACCCAGGCTCGGCCCTGGAGTACAGGGACGTGGCATCCTGGCTTGAGTCTTCCTGCTTGTCACTTTTCCCTCGTCTCTCAGCTGCATCCGGGTCCTTGCGAGACTTGGTATACCGAGACAAGTACTCAGAGTCAGCCTCGGGATCCAGGGTCAGCCCGTACTTCTCCGCCAGCTGCCGCCTCCTCTCGGCTTTGTACCTTGCGATCCTCTCGGCTTTGGACTCCAGACCTTGGGTATCCATGGAGCTTGAACTGTGGACGCCCGAGGTTTCCGCACAGTATTTAGACCGAGTTTGCTTTTCTAAAGAAGACCCGGGGGTGTCTTCCTCTTCATTGGATCGTCCTGCAAACAGACCAGAGGATTATTCGCACCCAGGGCAAGTACCCACACCCGTGTAATACACAGAGCCCTCCATACTGCATAGGGCCAGCCTGGAGACCCCACATCTCACTACAACCCCTATCAAAAGGAAACCTGGATCTCCCACTAATGTGTGATGCCTGAGCCAGGTGGGGTCTAGCTGCCCTACATCAGCCAGGCACACCCCTTGCCCTTCTGCCTTTATTTATTTTTATGTTTTGTTTTTTAGTTTAATATTTCACATATGAGGCCAAAGGGCAAGTTCAGATTCCTCTAAAAAGGACAACAGACACTGGACCCGCTGTGATTTAACAAGGGATAGATTGTGGTTTCATGTTGCTTTTTTTCCCCCCCCCCCCCCCCTATTTGTTTTTTGCCAGAGTGGCCTTTTCCGGTTGTAGCCTACATGCAAAATGTGGGAAATATTTAACAAAGACACAATAATAAAAACTCAAGCTGCCAATCTTTACACTGTGCACTAATAATGACATTTTTGTATATTCTTTCTAATCTTTTATGTTTTTATTTATATATATAAAACAGTAATTGCTTTATATAGAACATTTCTTATATTTTGAAATTCTATTTGAAAGGCATCATTTTAAGGCTTCATAATATGTATGTATGTATGTATGTATGTATGTATGTATGTATATACACACACGTATATATTTTTGGTTTGGTTTTTTTTTTTTTTGAGGCAGGGTCTCCCTGTACCTCCAGCTAGTTGGAACTCACTATGTAGACCAGGCTGGCCTAGATCTCAGAGATCCTTTTGTCTTTTGCCTCTGCCTCAACATGCTAAACTTAAGGTCGTGGCCACCACACTCAGCCCTCTTCATGTTATTCTATCCAACAGGCATGTCACAGTCAGTCCTTGCTTGCTGCACACTTCTAAGTTTTATTAATATGATTTTCTCACTGTAATCACCCTACACTTTCTATATAAAAGTAGAGTTACTAGGGCTAGGGATATGGTTCAGTGAGTAGAGCACTTACAAGTGTGAGGATCTAAGTGAACCTTCAGCACCCATGCACATGCTGGGTGGGCATGGCAGCCCAACTGCAATCCCAGCGTCCCAGGGGTAGAGACAGGGGTAGGGACAGGGTACTCCCAGAGCAAGCTGGCTAGTTACATTAGCTAAACCCGCAAACTCGGGCTCAAATGAGACTCTGCCTTCACATATAAGACTACAGATGTCCACCTCTGGCCTCTACCCATGCACATGCATATATGCACATCTACATATTATTTGCCCACATACATGTGAAAATGTAGATACCCATGCACATACACATATAAATAAAAAAGCTGAGTTACTTTATGAGAACATAGTCATAAGTCATTTGCGAGGCGGTTATATTAATTTCTACACGGAAAAGCAATTACCTAACATGTATGAAGCTGTGACTTCGTTCCAACACTGAATGATAGTAATTTATGTAGACTATGTTAATTTGTACTTATGCCTGTAATATATGCTTCCTCATAAATAATAGTTTAGAAAAGTTATTCTTCAGTCATCAGCTAAAGAAAATACCTGCATTTCTCATTAGCTTGTTTGTCGCGCTTACTCTTTCTTTCCAGGGTTGGCAGGCTCGAGCTTATTGCTCTGTGGGACACTGATGAACAGTACTGTTCTTACTGGTCTGTATAAACTTTAAGAGGGATATTAGTCTTTTGTCTTCTTCAATTATATTTTCAAACTTGTTTATGGTTTAATTTTGTTTCCTGGTCTATGTGAGATTTCCTTTGACTGGTGGGGGTTTACTGTGAAGTCAAGTCAGCTGACATGATCATTTGGTGATCTCTGAATGAAATATATGCCTGTTTTGAAGGTTCTAATTATTTCCTTTGAATTAGTAACAAGATTAACCAGAATTTACTTTAGGGGTTGGTATGCAATGGAAAAATGAATATGTCTCTTGCCTAGCTCAACTGCCAATAAGATTTTATTAAATAATTCTTGGTAATGCATGCCCAGTGCCCCAGTACTTAGAAGGCTAAGGCAGGAGGTCAGTGAGTTTAAGGTCAGCTTGGGCTGCATAACCATGTCCACAACAACCTTAATTTTCTCACTATATATGATGCTTAAATTATATGTTCTAGAGATGAACATGCATAACCATGTCCACAACAACCTTAATTTTCTCACTATATATGATGCTTAAATTATATGTTCTAGAGATGAACATTTTATATACACAAGAGTTCATTTCTGGCTATAAATTTTGGTGTTTTAATCTGCTCCAGGTTCTTCATACATGTCATTAAAAATCTTAGCTATCTACTAAAAACCATAGATATATGTAAACTATAACATCATGCTGTGAGATCACAGCCCTCTGGGAGGAGGAAAATGGAAAACGCTGGCTAGAAAAAGCAGCAGCTCAGAGCCCTGACTGCATCACCCTCTCTGAGGTCAAGCTGGGGAACAAATGTCATAAATAGCAATGACTCAGCATAGTGAAAGAAAAGCCAAGTCATATTCAACATGCCCTCTGCTGAGAAATCCACATGCAATACATTCACGTCTTGCTTCAAAAATACTGCGAGCAAGAACTACAATTATCCAAGGTCCAGCTTTGCTTTCAACTCTTCCTCCTGGGAGAAGCCACCTCCTTTGCTGGGCACCTGGTCATTTAGTGTAACCTACTATGTGCATGGCAAGGCACCTATCTTTTGATCTTTTCTTTCCACACAGACATTTATCAGTAGTCTCTGACAGCAGATTTTGTGCTAAGCCCTGACAGTCTGGAGAGATAGACACGATGCCTCCCTCTGAAGGGGTCCCTGTTTACAGGGGGACTGACAGTCAGAGGTTACCCAACAGTGTGCTAATGGGAGCCATTCCTTACTGCTGTGATGCTGGAGGACCACATCTGGGACAGATGCTGACTACGTGTTACTGCTGTTTTTAACAAGCATACTTAAGAAAACTTGTTTAATGCTGGGCATGGTGGTGAATGGCTTTAATCCCAGCCCTTGTGAGGCAGAGGCAGGTAGATATCTGTGAGATAGAGGCCAGCCTGGTCTACAAAGTGAGTTCCAGGCAGGCTGGGACTAGGGAGACCCTGTCAAAGAAACTAAAACAAACAAAAAAATACAAACAAAAAGAAACTATTTACACACAATGTACTGGTATTGGAAATGATGGCTAATCATTGTCAGCTTGACTAGATTTGGAGTCACCTAGGAGACACACCTCTGGGCATTTCCAGAGAGGATTAACTGAGGAGCCAACACCTACCCTGGCTGTGGGCAGCACCACTCCATGGGCTAGAACCCCAGACTGAATAATAAGGGAGCAACAAAGGGAGCCACTGGAGCACCAGTATCATCTTTTTCTCTGCTTCCTGACTGTGCACATATGTGACTAGCTGCCTCGCACACCCACTCTCATCCCTGTCATGACGGACTGTATCCACTCAAACCATGAGACAAACCTTTCCTTCTTTTTTTGGGTCAGGTATCAGGCCTCTCATTTTCCAGTACCATTAGATTAGAAAGGTGGTGTGTAACATGGCAGCAGCCTGCCTAGCCATGCCCACAGTGCTCACCAATGTGAGGACTGGCAGGGTCAGTAGCTCGCATGTATCTGGGTGTGTCTTCCTCCAGCAGGCGATGAGTCACTAGCCCTGTGCAGCTCTGCAACAGGCTGGGCTGGGTGTCATTTTCTATTCCTTCCAAGCGCCTGGCAATTCTTTCTTTTCTATGCAAAAGACCAAAAAAAGACACTGTGAGATGCCAAACCAATGCTAATGGACAGATAAGCACTGCTGTGTAAACCTGTCTACCCTCTAGCACGGTACCACAAGTACTAACCTTTTCATTTCTAAGAAGTCTTTCCTCTTTGGTTCGAAGATTTTTCTTAATTCTGCAACTAAAACAAAGCAAAAAAATAAAAAGTCCAACAATTTATTTATTTATTATTTTTATTTTATGTGTATGAATGAATGTATTGCCTGCATGTAAGTGCATCTGTGTTGTGCAATGCTCACAGAGGTCAGAAGTGGGTGTTGAATCCCCCCGGAATTGGAGTTATGGACAGCTGTTAGTTGCCACATGGGTGCTGGGAACCAAACCTGGATCCTCTGCAAGAGCAGTCAGTGCTCTTAACCACTGAGCCATCTCACCAGCCCCACAAAAGAGTCCAATGTTTAGTAGTTAGGCACTCTTTTTATTCATTCATATAACATATCATATGGAACTCAAATTTCTATGCTTAACTCCCATGCAACAGTGACATGTAACACTGTCCTGCTTCCTGCTTCCTTGGAGTTTGTTTTCATGTAAAAAGGGAGACAGTAAACGAGTAAATGTGTATATACACACACACACACACACACACACACACACACACACACACACACATATAGGCTAGCAAGTAAACTCATACAAACTAAGAGAGTGAGTTTTATTGTACACAGGGGAGTGAAAGGACATTTAACTTGCAAGATCTCTTTAATAAAGTAGTTTTAAAGTAGAAATCCCAGTATCTAGCTAGTTAAAACTTTAGTTATATTTAATAATGTATTGTAATAATAAAGCTTTTATTTTGGAAAATATTTGCAAAGCATATACCGTGAGCTCCCACAGGGCCAGCTGCCTGCCCCAGGCATACACTCACAGCCTCTCATGCTTCACCCTGTCATTTAATCTGGAAGCATCTGTAACTACATGACTGTATTTCTACTGACCACAGCTGGGATCAGCAACATCCCAAGCTTCCCTCACAGGGTTTCACTGGAAGGAAGTGGTAACCTTTGTTTCTGTGCTATAATCTAGGAGGATGGTGTGATTCTTCTAGAAGCCCTGGAGAACCAGAAAAAAACATTTTGGTGTGGTTGGGGGTTCTCAGGTGACACTGATTACAGGGACAGATGGAAACAACGGGCTATTGTTTCTTAGGAGAGATGGCCACAGCTAGTGGAAAATGAATCTGAACCTGTTTCTTTCCTTTATCACAAGGGTCCCTAAGAGCTCGTGGAAGCATGGAGATGGTAGGAAAGGAAAAGAAAGCTAGACAGGCCAGGGCAGACATTTTGAAAGGCTGAGTAACAGAAGGAATGCAAAAGGAAGAGGTATAGAGACATGGGATCTAATCAATAATTTGTTCTGCCATGTAGTCTTCATATACTCTCTACTACTGAGCTACATCCCTAGCCCAAACTGACTGCTTCACCATGATGGGCTGTCCCTTGCACTGTGAGCAGAATAAACACTTTGTCCCTTAAGTAGCTTTTTTTCAGAGTGTTTTATCACAGCAACAGGGAAAGAAACTAAGACCATTACCTGGGGACGGTCATCAATTCTGTATTAAAGGGAAGTTTCAGAAGAGCAGTTACAGGCACACAGATGTGCCTCATCAGGGTCACAGACTCAGAAAGCTGGCTATGGAATAGGTCACAGGCCACTCTTGGGGTGCTGGTGGAGTTCTCAATAATGAGAATGTGAGCTCTGCACGGCAGTATGCCAAGTATCCTTGCCTCTCCTATCAAATGCTTGTTCATCCTAGTATATGCGACACAAAGTGCCCATATTCCCAAAGCCCCCAGGGCTGTCATGAGTTCAAAACCACTGATTCATCTGACTCCCAAGCCAGGGGTTACCTGAGACAGACACCTCAGGTCACCACTGTACACTTCTCAAGGACACACAAATTAAAATTCAAGCTAGTGCTCCTGACTCACTGCTCCCGACCCAGTGCTCCCAACACCAGTGCCCACCCATCAACACTGTGGGCATTCAGAAAGACCCCTCACTGTCCTCTCTGGTCATGTTACTGAGGGTGAAATGAGGCAATAAATCAAACTGTACATAAAATGTGGTGCTGAGTTTATTAACAGTGAAAATCTACAGTGACTATTTTGGGAAAATGAAAGAAAAAATCCTTCCAGAAAGCAGAGAACTTTCTAGTAAGTATATTTCTCAGTTATGAAGAAGAGCTTCAGTCAGATAGAGATGAAGAAAGAAGTGGTGTGCAAGAAAAAGCTTGGCTTCTTCAAGTTCATAATTGAAAAGTAAAAGCAGTGAAACAAACATGTAACAGGACTACTTTGGTACATCTCATTGAAAATCACTTCAGTTGTTTATAAGAGGATGACAGTAGAATTCATAAAGTAAGACAAAAAAACAAAACAAAAACAAAAACCCAATCCACAAAACTTCAGACTGACCTTTGCTCTCATTCAGCTTTTCAAATGAATTTTGAATTTTCAATCAGGTTTATAGCACAGCAATACAAACAAGTTAATGCTAAATAATAATAATAACCACAAGTTGAAGTCTGCCATGCTCTGTTTGATGGTTAATCTCAACTGTCAACTTGACTGAACTAAGGAGCCTAGGAGACCAGCAAAGTACTCTTCTGGGTGGGTCTTATGGGTTCCCACAGAGGATTAGGAGGATCCACCCTGAACATGAAAGGCACCAGTCTACTCGCTATATAATACTTTTAAAAGCAGTGCTGAGGATCAAACCCATGGCTTGCAGTGTGTTAGGCAAGCCTGCTGCCCCTGAGCTATACCACCAATTCCCTAAGTATTAATCTTTTAAAATTTCTTTCCTTTAAATTTAACAGTTTTTATGTAATTTCAGACTGAAAAAATCTAAAACATACCTTTCATAACATGTTAATATATTACTAAATGGTTTATTCATCTTTTTCTCTCTTTCCATAGGTATTTATATAATACATTTTTCCAAACTATAAGAGTAAGTTGCAATGTATCTGCTTATCACTAAATTCTACAATGTGTATTCCTTAAAAGTAAGCAATAAAAATGTTTCCTAAAGTTAGATTTGGCATGCATAATTCAACTGACTGAATGCCATACCATAATTACAACTCATAAATGGTTAAGGATTTTAGAGTTAGTCAACCCATATAAGCAGCCATGGGTCTAACTTCCACAGTAGAAAGAAAAGTTCTACTTTATTTTCAAATATATTACGATCTTTATGCATACTAAATTAGCCATTTTCCACCTGTCACCATAGCACCTTGTACATGTTTGAGTAGCTCTGAATGGTACTTTTGCATCATATGGAACACATGTGTATATTTCTTTTCTAATTTCTTTTTAAAAAAATATTTTATTAGCTGGGCGTGGTGGTGCATGCCTGTAGTCCCAGCACTTGGGAGGCAGAGGCAGGTGGATATCTGTGAGTTCAAGGCCAGCCTGGTCTACATAGTGAGTTCCAGGACAGCTGGGGCTACAGGGAGACCCTGCTTCAAAAAGACAAAATATATATATTTTTTAATTTATTATTTTTATTTTGTGTGTATGAGTGCATTGCCTGCATGTATGTAAGTGTATCTGTGTCGTGCAATGCAAGCAGAGATCAGAAGAAAGCATCAGATTCCCTTGGAACTGGAATTAAGGATGGTTGTTAGCTGCCATTTGGGGGTAGGGAACCAAACCCTCCGCAAGGTCCTCTGCAAGAACAGCCAGTGCTCTTAACTGCTGAGCCATTTCTCCAGCCCCTCTTTTGTCATTTCTACTAGTTTTCAAGTAAGGCATCTAAGGGAATTGGAGAACAGGCATCTAACATTCATGCAGATATTTACAAATACGCTTTTTAATAACAATACATAACACCAGTATTAGAATAATTTGGTCTCCTGAAAATGTTTCTTGGGAAACATAGTTTCTTCAACCACTTCTGAGAAACTGAGGATTTATGGTAAAGACGTTGTTGAATTTAGTCCTCCAAACTTAAGTACAGTAGGAGTAGGGACTGCCAAGACTGCTTTTCACCCTGTCACTTGACAGTCTGAGAGAACAGGCCTGACTGGAGGTGCTCCAAACACTGGTCTGACTTGCATCGGCGCTCTGCAGGCACTAATACAAAGATGAACAGCTTTGTAACAAGTAATCATCAAACCAGAGGAATAACAGAGGGGCTTAAGAGTATGGGGTTTCTTTTTGGAATAAGGAATACATTCTAATACTGACTGTGGAAATGGATTGTAAATTCTGTGAACATGCTGGAAGCCAATGAGGTATACACTTTAAATGGATGAACTGTGTGGTCTGTGCACTACATTTTAATAGCAGTGCTAGAGAAAACAATGTACCTGTTATGTTTTTTCAATTTATTTATTTTTATTTTATGTATATAAGGGTTTTGTCTGCAGAACATGTATGTATGTAGGTGTATCACATGTGTGAAATTCCTACAGAGGCCAGAAGAAGGCACTGGATCCCCTGTAACTTGAGTTACAGATGGTTGTTAGCCACTATGTGACTGCTGGGAACCAAACCCAGGTCCTCTGCAAAAGCAGTCAGTGCTCTTAATCACTAAGCCATCGATCCAGTCCCCTATTCTATTTCTTTTAATAAATATTTTTTATCTATTATTATTTTATGTGTATGAGTATATTGCCTGCATGTATGTGAGTGCACCCATGTCATGCATTGCCACAGAGGTCAAAAGAGGGCTTCGGATTCCCCTGGAACTGGAGTTAAGGACGGTGACATGGAAAATGGATTTAATGCTATAACCTTCACATGGTCAAATATTTCTTTTATTATTTTTTCTTTTACAGTTATTACATTTATTTATTTGTGTGTGTATGTGTGATTTGTGTGTGTGTGTGTATATTGCCATGGCACCAGGAGTCAGTTTTTTCCATCCACTGTGTGGGTTTTAGAAATTTAACTCAGGTATCAGGTTTGGTGGCAGGCACCTTTAGCTGCCAAGCCACTGTGCTGGCCCTTTCATAGGTGAAGATCTTTATTCCCTTCAGTTCTTGTTGTGATACACGTTAAGGTAAGTCCAAGAGAGAACACTAAATGACCATTTTAATGATCCATTTCACAAGAGCCAAAAACCTTCACTAATGAACAAAGAAATTTCTGGGAACTTACAAACAAACATAAACCTCCACATCACTGAAACAAAATTAGGCCAGGGATACAGCTCAGTGGTGGTGTTTGTCTAGCATGCTTGAGGGCCTGCACTGAATTCCCAGTAATGAATAAACCAAACCAAATCAAACCCAAACAAACCCTAAATTATCCTTTGTAAATATTATATTGTTAAAAAGCCAAGAGACAAAAGCATTCACAAATCTGGTAAAATGGAGAAACAGAGAGATTACTGAGAATATCAGTCTTCACTGACATGCCTACCCAGAGTCAGAATCCCAAGACAAGGATGTGTGCGGGGACTAAGGGAGATTGGGGAGGGGGACACAGGCACATTTTTAAGACAAGGACCTGAGGACTGAGGAAGACCAGGGAGGTGGGACACAGGCACATTTTATGCATGCCAGCAAAGAGCTAAAGCCTTGTCAATTTAAAATCATGAGCCTGGTTAATATATAAGAGTAACATCTTTGATTTGGGAAAATCATATTTTTATAATCAATTATGATAAATTTTGTAATAAGCCTAGTGAATAAGGTTACATGTTTTTAAATTTTGTTATATCTGAAATTATAGTATGAGTCTTCAAGAGCCCAGCATCTCACCCTGTGCCCAGCTCAAACTATTGTCTACTGTATTATTTATTCAGAGGAAGTGGGGCAGAAAAGATGGGAGGAGGAGGCTGCAGCCAGTGGAAACTTTGAAAAACAGACCCATGCCCCAGACAGCTCTTCTCAGCTACAGCTGAATCCATTTATTCACTTAAAATGTTTTTGATTTATTTATTTTTACTTTATGTGTATGAGTGTTTTGCCTGCATGTATGTATGTGCACCCATGGAGGCCAGAAAGGGGCATCAGATCCCCTGGAACTAGAGTTATACACAGCTGTTAGCTGCCACTAGGGTGCTAGGAACCAAACCCAGGTTCTCAACCAGAGCAGCCAGCGCTCTTAACCTCTGAGCCATCTCTCCAGCCCTGCATTTGTACACTTTTAGACTCAGTTTTGATCACATTCTTAGATTTTAAAACACAACTTCCTCTCAAATATAATTGGGTTTGTCTTTTGCAGGGACTCCTGATAATTGCGAGGCTGGATTCATCTAATGCCAATCCACAAGGTCATCCCTGTGCGAATTCTCTACAGCATCCATCCCATCTTGAATGCATCTGACCATCTGCCTTCTTGAACAGTGATAAGGTGTGGGAGAACTCCTAAGTGAGTCATTTCCTCCTGGGTAAGCAGCCCCCTTCATACAGCCCGGCTTCTTTCCACAGTGCCAGTCTCCTGCACTCAACTGGAGTCTTCAAATATTAGTACTGTCTTCAGTCTTTCAATAGCATCAGAATGCACATTCAGGTACCTCTGGGTGTGTCTAAGCTATAAAATAAAGCTTATTATAGGTATGTTTGCACAAGAAAGGAAGTAGTGCGCAGAGGTCAGTGCCATCCCATTTTCAGACATCTCTTGGGTATAACAGAACACACTGTCCACAGATGGGGGTGACACAATTCAATTCTTTCTCATAAGATATCTTATCTACATCCTTTTAACGTCAATATTCTTATTTTTCCTCCAGAGCTACATATGGTAAGTCTGTATTTCAGTTGAAAGCTTTGTAAGCACTGGAAAATTGCAACATGGTCCTGTTTCAGTTTTCCTTGCCTGGTCAGATCCCTGGAGCCTTTCAAATGCCCAACTCCAGCAGACTATGTCTGGGCATGTCATCCACTCAGCTCCTATGGATACATTTCAATTTGTCAGTGTGCCTTTGAAACTGGATTTAGTTTCTATTAAAAGAATATTTCTTGTGATCTAATTTCTTTTAGGCTTCTTTTTCTCTTTTAGAGTGGGGAAAAAAATCTGCCTTTCAATCAACCTGCTTTCTAGAGGTTGGGTTCTATCACTCTTTTGGGATACAGACATTTTGTTGGCTGGTTCCAAAAGATCATTCCTTGCAGTCAGGGAAATAAGGATCAGACAATATTTCCATCGTGCCAAGCAGCAAAAGCAGGGGGGGAGCTACTGGTTCACAGCAGGTGATGCTTCTTACTACAGGTTCACCTGTCACTACAACAGTAACCCAGAAAAGGTGACTAGGAGGCCAATTGAGATGGCTCAGCTTGTATAAGCTCTTGCCCCCAAACCTGATTACCTGAGTTCAACCCCTAGGGCCCACATGATAGAAGATTTTCTGACTCCCCAAAGCTGTGTGTGGTGGCACATCCACATCTACACACAAAAATAAATAAATGTAATAAAAATGTGTTTTTTAAGCCCAAAGATGGGTGTGACATAGTGTCCATTAACCATGTGTTGTCCAGGGGGGAGCTGTAGATGCTGCACTTGAATTCCCTATGCTGGGAAGCAGAGCGGTAAAGACCAGCACTAAGGGAAGAGGGGAAGTGGGTGGATGGGAAGAAAGGCTGCCTTTGGAGAAGGTTAATTTAAATTAAGTTTTTTTGAGACAGGGTCTCATTTATCCCAAATTGGAAGAGAATGACATTGAACACTTTTCTCCAGACTCCACCTCATAAATGCTGAGGTTATAAGCTTCCACCAAAAAGTCCAGTTTATGTGGTGCTGGGGATCGAACCTAGGGTTTTCTGCATGTAAGACAAGCACTCTACCAACTGAGCTACATCCTTATCTGTTGGGAAAGGTTAAAGGCAAAAGCGGGAATATGGTCTCATGATCTCTCTCCACCTCTTCACTCGGCCTCCAGCAGCAACTGGAAGGAAGAATTGAGAGAAAGGTGAGGATGCAAAGACCAAGGAAAGGCCCCTTAACTAGGCTAGTCCTTGGATGAGGCAGGAAGGGACACAGAAGAGAGTGAAGGCTGGGAGCTTAGTGGGAATCCCTTAGAGAAAGACAGAGGCTTTGCATGCCCAGACACTGTGGAACCATTTAGAGAAAGCCTTACCTTTAGGGAGCACAGCTAAAAGCTTGGCATCGAGGCTTCTCCTGTGGTTAGTAAGCTCTTCTTTATCCTCAAATGAGAATTCTTTCTGAAAGCTAAAACTCATCCCATTAATAAAGTATTAAATGAAGATGTAGGAAATTGAAGGAAAAACACTGGACAGAAAAACCATGCCATCATCTCATGTGGTTATAATAGGTGTTTAGCTCTGGAAAGAATATTGGTAAGCTTTCCATTTATTTACACTTCTGTTAATACCATGATTTTTTGGTGTGTGTTCAACTAAATAGACCTTCTAAGTACAATGAAGTCATTGTAGCCATGAGCGTGTCAGGGAGGACTTTGCCCTCACACTTGGAGATGTCCCACTGCATGACCATCAGGGCTTACAAGGAGGAACCCTTGTTTGTACACACTGACACTTTCACAGTGTCTTCTATCAGCTACATGCCATAGGGTCTCAGCACAGGAGGCCAATCAGACTGACACCCACAATGCCCTGTGTGCAAGGGAACTGCAAGTGCAGAGGCTGAGAGAGATGGCGAGGTGACAGGAACTCACAAGCAAGTGGGTGGATCTGTGGAGGCTGGGGGTGGGGGAGATGGGCGCAAAGGGAAAGAAAGGAAGGAGGGATAACGCTAAGCTTTTTCTTAAAAAAATTAAAAGCTCCCTTATTTGATGAATAGATTCCCAAGCATAGAGGTAAGTGAGAGATCAAAAGAAACAGCACCTTCTGAGCTGATGATTAACTACAAGTGGACACAAACACTGTATTCCCCAAACTGTTCCAAGAAACAGCAGGGCCTACAAAAAGAGCCTTTATTGCCTGGGGACACTGTTAAGTCAGCTTGCTTCATACACACAGATACAAATATGGACAGAGATATAGATACACACACACACACACACACACACACACACACACACGATGCTTAGGAACTGAACCCAGTACTTTGCATAACCAAGGTAGGAACTATACCACTGAGTCATATAACCTCAGCTCTTGTTTCGCATATATTAATAAAGAAAACACTGAGGAGAAAGTGTATTGCTAAACAAACTTATCGAAATTTAAGAGTCCTGGTGGCTGGGGGCTCATCACTGGGAAGTATTGGAAAGGCATGTGCAAGGGGCTGCCCTCCATTCCCAGCACCGTGGAGGGAAAGAAGACAGGATTTAAAGGAATCACTTTGAAAGCCACACACATCTTCAAAGCTTAAGATGTGTTGTACAAAGGTCATTTTACCTTAGAGCTTCTCTTTGATGTGGGAATCCAATGAAGCCTAAATTTTTCTTGTTGAAATCTAAGGGAAAAGAAGGAATGTAAGGTTAAAATAGCTACACAATTATTTAAGAACATTTCAAAAGGAAAATATTCTTCAAACGCCCCTTGAATTTGTAATTTAAGAAAAAAAGGATACCATTAGCCAAAAACCAAAACTATACCTTCTGAGAATCAAATCCTACACACAAATTTTACACAGGCAAGGCTCTTGTTTATTTGTTTGCTTTCTTCTCTTCTGAAAGAAGCCATCATAGTCTGTGGGTTCAAAAATTGTGGGGGGCTGGAGAGATGGCTCAGAGGTCATGGAGCTCAGTTCCCAGTACCATAGCAGCTAACAACCATTAGTTCCTGACACCCTCTTCTGACCTCTGTGAGTACTTCACATGAGTACACTTACATACATGCAGACAAAACACTTGGACACATAAAATAAAAATAAATAAATAATTTTTAAAAATCTGACATAGTTAAAGGGTACCATTTAAATTTATCATGGCAAAAAAGAGCTTGAAATAATTAAATACCAAATAACAGTTTTATGCTCAGGGAAAAAGGGGAAAATAATTAAGCAGTTTTGGTCAAGATTACCAGAAACATGGAAAGGAATCTGCCCAGTAGATTTATAATGTCTTTACAGAATGTGGGGAGCTGGGAGGCGGGGGGGCAGGGCTGAAGAGCAAGGGGTACCTCAGCTTTACATTTACTGCTTTCATTAAAGTCAGAATTTATTGTGTGTGTGTGTGTGTGTGTGTGTGTGTGTGTGGTGTGTGTGTGTGTGTGTGTGTGTGTGTGTGTGTGTGTGTCAGAGAACAACTTGCAGAAGTCAGTTCTCTCTTTCCTGGGAATCAAACTCAGGTATCAGGCTTGACAGCAAATTCCCTTACCTACTACACCATCCCACTGGTCTGTTTCATTTTGTTGTTGCTTGAGACAGGGTCTCCCTGTAGCCCCAGCTGGCCTGGGTCTTGCTGTGTAGACCAGGCTGGCCTCAATCTCACTGAGATCCACCTGCTTCTGCCTTCTGAGTGCTGGGATTAAAGGCATGCACTACCATGTCTGGCCTCATTTAGTTTTGAAGATATGACACATACATATATAGTAAAGACAAGTTGTAACAATTCTGTACAGGAAAAACACACACCCCAGGTGAATGGGTTAATAGAGTTTACACGGGAGTCTCACAGACAGCAGTTAACTCTGCAGCTTTTAGTACAGGTACTGTCTGTACCTAGAAGACCACATGTGGACCACTGACAGTCCTTCCCTGAGGAAGCACCTCTGTGGGCTTAGTAGAAGCCGAGCCTGGGAAAAAAGGAGGCACAAAATATACTAGATGCCAACAATTCTTTGTTCATCAAATATGCCCTGAGCCCTGGAAGCAGGAGAAGCACAATGAATAGCACAAAGCCAATCAGACATCCCGCTGTTTGTTCTAAGTACGCATCCTGTTAGCCATCTGAAGAAAGAGCAGTCTGATCAAAGAGCTACAAATACCATAAAAAGCTCCTGAATTGTTCTAGTCACTGCCCAGAGTGCTTATATATGAGACATTTTATATACATAATGGCTGGGTTTCAAGCCTGACATTTAAAATACTCTTAGCATCTCTTTTTCTCCAGCACTACACTGAGTATGTAGTACCACTTCAACAATCAGACGGAAAACATCTACTGCCTCTGTGCTGGAAAGGAAACCACTGAAAAGACAGTATTTGCTCCAAACTGTCTCATTGGAAGAGTTAAGAAAAAGAGATTCACCCACCACTGTCTGCTTGAAATAAGTTTGTATTTAAGGCATTTAGTTTAGAAAAATTCTTTAGCTATAGTGCAGCATGCCCAGAATTTGATCCAAAGTTTAGAATTTAATTTGCAATTTTGCTATATAAAAGTATTCTTGGTTTTGCAACAGAAAGGAAAAGTACATTTTCAGCAATTACACGAGAAGCCTAGATACAGACTCAGTTAAAGCATCCTTTAGGACAACTGCATAACTGGCTGGATGCTGGAGGATGCAGGAAGAACTGTAGGATTCCACCACAAACAAGTTACAAAATGGACACAGAAGTGCCTTTTCTAAAGTCCCCCTGCCTTACCTTGTTTCTCAGAGAATTTGAAGGTTCCCAAGTAGCTGGAAAGCCCCGGGCTTCTGAACATGGCTGCACACAGCAGGCTGGGGACCAGCTTGATTCTACAGCTAATATCCAACCGGTCTTGGGCTGGTCTAAGCAAAACTGGGTTGCAATTTTTCAGAGTGCCAGGCTAGAGCGAGCGACCAGGCACGCGTGTCCTTGAGCTTATGATAAACACAAAGCAAAGGGCTGCCGGCTGCGACAAATCAAACCCTTTAATCAGATTACAAGCAGAAATTAGACCTGAGGATGCTGCAGCAGATGGGGTTCCTGTGAGGGGGCATTTTGATGGCACCACCCTAGGACCATAGCTATATAACAGAGCAGCTTGCCTGAGTAGACAATGCCAGGGCCTAACCAGCAAGTGGGTGTCAAGAACGCCCCCTCTTTCTCCAAAACCAGAAATCTGAAAAGAGAAAACCCCACAGAGGATCTCCATGTGTTGTGGGGCGGGGGGGCTGCCTAAGTGTTCCCAGGCTGCCCCATGTTTGGCTTTGGCTGAGTTAAATATTTTACCTAACCGGGAGCCAAAATTTCATACTCAAGAGTTGAGGTTTATGAACAACATATGAGCAAAACTGTGGGAAAAGAAAGGACAGATATTGCCAGGAGATTCAAAAATTTTAATTTGAGACAGAAGCCATTAAACTTTCCCCATAAGACGGGTGCCTGCTTATTTTTAACTGTACCATGTAGCTAGCTGGTGGACTCAAATCATGACAATGAATTTGGAAGAGCAACTTGCAATAGAGATCAACAATTTCACACCTACAAGGGGTCAGTAAAGAGAACAGCGGGAAACAGGCTCAATCACAAGGTAAGGAAATGGGTTAAAGAGGTAACCTGCTTCCAGAAGATAACTGGTGGGGGTGGACCAGATCCTGGAGAGGTGGGTCAGGATCAGGATTGGGTACATGTCTATGAAGAGGCAAGGACCTTGAGTTTGTCCACCTTTCCATCTTCAGTTCTGATACTGTACTGTGTACATAGTAGGGCCACAGCAAATGTTTGTGATATGAAACAATGGAATAGTCTTTTCTGAAAGCTAGAGAGTACAGATTCTCAGATTAAACCAGATCATCTTAGATACAATTACATTTCAGTTGAAAACAAAGAATCAATGAATGAATGAATGAATGAGGCATGTATTACTCTTTGAGTCTGAAATGTAGCACGCAGGCTCATACATCTGAACACTTGGTTTTCAGTTTGGGGAGGTTGTGGAAGCCTTGTGGCAGGAGGCATGCTGACAGAGGTGGGTCACTGAAGCAGGCCTTTGTGGGACACCGCCTAGCACAAGCTCTGCTTCCTGGTCCACTGAGGTGTGAGGAGCCCTTAGATGCACAGTCCAGTGGAGCAATGAACTCCACTGTGCTCTCCTGCTAAGATGGACCGAAATGCCGGATGTGGGGATACATGTCTTTAATTCCAGCCCTTGGGAGGCAGAGGCAGGCAGATCTCTGTGAGATTGAGGCCAGCTTGGTTCACATAGTGATTTCCAGGCAGGCTGGGATTAGGGAGAACCTGATAAAAAATAAAAAATTAAAATAAATAAAATAAATAAATAAATAAATAAATAAAACAGCAAATAAACCCAAGATGGCCAAGATGGACAGAACCCCCTTAAGCCCTGTGGTATTTTCCCACAGCAGAGAGAAGAGTAACAGAAAAGAGCATGTATGCCATCATAGGGAACATCAACACTGCTTCCCACACAGGCCATAATAAGAGGTACAGTTACTTCTTATAAAACTAGAAAGAAATATGGCAGATAAGCCTGTTAAAACAAAGAAACAAACTTCAGCAAGGAACAAAGTAAGTGCTGTGGACAACTACGGGGGCAACTTGACTAAAAGCTTATCTTCTAGACAGGAGGTGGATGCCACATGAACACTGAAGAGGGTAGGAAGTGACGCCTGGGGGCAAAAAGGGAAAAGGCAGTGTTGGAAGGAGAGATACTAGACTTGTTGGCCTCACATATCAATCCTGATACAAAACAATCAGACTTCAATATGGCTTCACACTAGAAAGAAAGAAGGACAAATTTCCAATAGGTATAAAATTTAACCTATAAATAGCCCCTCTGCAGGGGAAGCTGGGGAATGGCTCAGTAGGTAAGAGTACTTGCTGCGGAAGCATGAGGACCCGAGTTCAAATCTTCAGTACCCATGCCTGCACGTGCCTGTAACTCCAGCATGGGGGCAGAGACGGGTGGATCCCAGAAGCTCACTGGCCAACTGGCCAATCTAGCCCAAACTGCAAACATCAGATTCAGTGAGAGACCCTGTCTTAAGAGAATGGGGCAAACAGTGATGGAGCAAGTCATGTTGTGCTCTTTTTGTCTCTTTCTTCAGTCTGAAACTCTTAATAAAATCTACTTGTCATCCCTAAAATGTGACTTGATTCTGTGGAACATCAGGTACCTCCATGCAGGAAAGAAAGTTAGAGGCTCACTGTGACATCATATGGCGGTATAACTGGGTTATTGGCAATGCCTGTGGGAGTCCCTGCTTTGAAGGTCCAAGGCTAAGATGAAAGGAGATTAAGGGCAAAGGTATCAACACCCAGCACAGCTCTCTGCTGCAGCTCAGGCTACAGGATCCATCTGAGGAACCAGACCTCAGCCAGAGGTTGTGCTTAGGATATTCAAATGCCCTTGTAATACAAGTGACAGCTGTCCTTTGTTACCTTCATGAAAGAGGAAATAGAAACAAAGTTAAGCAGGATACCAAGTACCCGACTAATAAATGGTCACTTTGTGTGTCTGTGATAAAGTGAAGACCTGTGGCCTTCTGGCCTACATGCCCATGCTGAGTCCTGCAGGCACTGGACCACTGTGCCCTTCCAAAGTCTGCTAGGGAGGGCCTGTTATTACCTCATTTGCAGATGAC